TTATGTTGTTTCGAGTCAAGGAGTGGCAGTGGACAAACAGAAGGTGAAGACGGTGCGGGAATGGCCAGTACCGAAAAACAAACATGACTTAAGAAGCTTTCTTGGATTATGCACCTACTACCGGCGGTACGTACCTGGATTCGCAAATGTTGCTAAGCCTTTGACACGTTTAACAGAGGGAGAAAGACGATTCCAATGGGACGAAGAATGCCAAGAAGCCTTTAAGAACCTGAAAAACGCGTTGACCAGCTCACCAGTCTTAAATTATCCTCTTCCGGATGGTGAATTTATTTTGGACACGGACGCAAGCAATGTGGGCCTGGGAGCTGTTTTGTCGCAGATTCAAGCGGGAAAAAAGAAAGTTATTGGATACTTCAGTAAAACTTTATCCAAACCAGAACGTAATTACTGCGTTACTCGACGAGAGTTGTTGGCAGTGGTAAAATCAGTCGAACACTTTTACAAGTACCTGTATGGAAGAAAATTCTTGCTGAGAACGGATCATGCTGCCCTTAAATGGCTTTTGCAATTCAAGAATCCTGAAGGACAGGTGGCAAGATGGATTGAGAGACTACAGGAGTTCGACTTTGACACAGAACATCGGGCTGGGACCATCCATTGAAATTCTGACGCCTTGTCAAGAAGACCGTGCCCGGAAGACTGTAAACATTGTCTCAGGGCCGAAGAAAAGGATGTGTTTGTTCGCAAAACTACAATCGTGGATGATCATTGGCAATCCGCTGAGGTTCAACAAGACCAGGAAAGGAATCCGGATTTGAAGCTTATCATCGATTGGAAGAAGAACGACCGTAAACCAACGTGGCAGGAAGTCGCCCAATATTCGCCGAGTGTGAAATCGTACTGGGCCCAATGGAATTCCATCATCCTAAGTGACGGGCTTCTAAAGCGCGTTTTGGAGATGCCAGAAGGGGGGGAAGACCGGAAGCAGATAATAATCCCCAGAAACAGGATACCAGAAGTGCTGCAGGAAATCCATGATGGAACTACTGGAGGACATCTTGGGGTGACCAGGACGCTCGGAAGACTTAGGGAACGGTTTTATTGGGTCAACAGCCAACGGGATGTGAAGGAATGGTGCAAGAAGTGCGCCGTTTGCGCGGCAAGCAATGGACCCCAGAAGCGCCCAAAAGCCCCAATGCGACAGTACAATGTGGGCAGCCCATTTGAGAGAATTGCAATCGACGTGGCGGGTCCATTTCCGGAAACAGAATCTGGAAATAAATACATCATCGTTGTAATGGACTACTTCAGCAAGTGGGCGGAAGCGTACGCCTTGCCAAACCAGGAAGCTGCCACAGTGGCCGATGCCCTTATTAAGGAGTGGATTTGTCGTTTTGGTGTGCCAATGGAGATGCATTCAGACCAAGGCAGGAACTTTGAATCTATATTGTTCCAGAATGTCTGTAAGATTCTTAACATTCGGAAGACGAGGACGACTGCATTACATCCGCAGTCCGATGGAATGGTAGAACGAATGAATCGAACGATAAACCGGTACCTGTCCAAGGTAGTCTCTGATCACCAAAGAGACTGGGACCGCTTTCTTCATCTGTTCCTGTTGGCGTACCGTTCTTCTATCCACGATACAACCGGCCAGACACCCGCTAGCATTGTTATGGGACGTGAACTTCGTCTACCTTGTGACCTGAGATTTGGTTGCCTACCAGGGGATGATATTGCTGGAGAAGATTACGTCAACAATTTACGTAGGAAAATGAGCGACATTCACAGCCGAGTTCGTTTAAACATCCAGAGTGCCAGTGATAGAATGAAAGAGGCATACGACATCAAGGCGGAAAATGGAGGATTTCAACCTGGAGACCTAGTTTGGTTATACAACCCTCAGCGCCGTCGTGGTTATTCACCGAAGCTGCAGACTTCTTGGGAGGGACCATACGAAGTCATGGATCGAATAAATGACATCATCTACAGGATCAGGAAACAACCAAGAGGAAAGCCGAAAGTGATCCATTTCAACCGATTGGCCCCTTACGCTGGAAACAATGATCAAATAGACGATGATAGAGCAAGGAGAGTTAATCCGCCGGAAGACGACTTGCCTTTTGAAGACTTCATGTATTTATATTCGAGCGGTAAAAAAGCTCGGTATGGTGTCACTCGAGAAGAACAAAAGCGGTTGTCTTTAAAAACAAGTTTGGACGGATCGACAAGCTACGAAGGCAGAATACCAAAGTTGGAGAGGTGCTTGAAATTGTGGATAATGAGCAGATAGGCAATAGAAGTATCTTCTATCTGGTAACGAAGCAGCTCTCCCATCAGAAGCCAAACTACCGTGACGTATGGAATGCCTTAAATAAATTGAGGGATGCCCTTTTATCCAAGGACATCATGAACCTGGCGATACCAAAGATTGCTTGTGGACTTGACGGTTTAGAATGGAGAATAATTAGAAGTATGGTGGAAGTTATCTTCAGATTTAGTGGCATACACATTCTTGTCTGTTGCCACAACCCTAAAAGAACAACCGGAAGGAAGACCGTAGACTGCTACTTCTATAGGACGTCACAATGCAAGTTTGGATCTCTATGCAAATATCGCCATGGAGCTGAGGACCATTTTCGGGACGAAAATGTTTTAAGACGGGGGCAATGTAGCGAGTACCGCTCTGGATATCGGAGTGATGACTCATCGCCGATGAGTCATCGCCGGTGAGTCATCGCCGGTGACTCAGCGCTCGAATAATCGAGAGTGTGGAGCTCGCTGGAATGTTCCAGAGGACGTAGGCGCTGTAATATATAAGGAACGACGCATCACAGAGCAGTCAGTTGAGCTTTGGTACGCGCGAAGAAATAAATAAATATAAGTGCAAATAAATAAACTAGTAGTGATATAAATAATTAGTAGTTAAGTGTTTAGTTAGTTTTATAGTGTTTTAAGTGAAGTTAAGTTATTAAATAAATAGTTTAGTTCGTTAATTAACCAGTGCGTGTTTTAATTCACACTACGAACAGTTAAAACGTTACAGTACAAAATTACGTTTCAAAACACACTAATTATGCATTAAATGCAAATTATCACTGATATTTTGTTTTTTTATGCCATTTTCAATAAAATAACAATAATAGTGATAATTGAATGAAGTAAAAAAGACCTTACTATGAACATACATGATTTTTTTTTGTTTAAAAGTACCATATTTTCCCTTTATTTCTTCAAAAAATTGGAATTGTTCATTAATTATTAATGATTTTATAAAATTATTGCGTTTTAAAGCAAAAATCCCCTATATGAAAAACTGTAAGTAATATTCGAGCGAAGTAAAAAAGACCTTAGGATACAAATACATGATTTTTTAAAGTAACTTATATCCTTTACATTTTCTCAAAAAATTATACTTTTTCCGGTCTAAAATGCGCCATCTGTAATCAGGGCCGGATTTAGGCATGGGCCACATGGGCCCGGGCCCAGGGCGGCAAATTTTTAGGGGCGGCAAATTTTGAAGGCCAGTTAAAATTTTGCTAAAAAATCAAGAGCGTTTTATGCAGAATTTTTGTTTTCACTCAGATTTATACACTAATTAAAACTATAAAAAGTTGGAAGAGAAGTTTTTTAATACACTAGATAATTTTATATCAGACTACACTATTATTCTGCGTAGTGCGTCACTGCGTAGAAGGGCGGCAGTCGATGTACACGAGGCGAGTGGGGCGCGACTCTAGCTTATTCGTTGAGTCATTCGTTATTCGGGGTAATGATGCGTTGGGCCCATGGGCGGCAAATTCGTAAATCCGGCCCTGTCTGTAATGTAAAACTGCCTAGGTGTTCGACAAAGATGGACATATGACGCGTGTCCTAGCTTGTTACTTATTTTTGTTGGAATTTAGTAGAGTTCGTGTTTTAGGCAATTTATTTTATTTTATTACATAGTAAGGCAACCAACTCTACCGTCGGCCATTTGTTTTTATATTTCATATGATCTTTGTTTTTGTTTTTGCATATCGATCGTGTTTCTGCTGTGTGTTTACGAATTAATAATAGTTTTAAACGTTGTAGTGCTAGTGGTTTTTATTGCAATTGTTATTGCACGTTTATTTTACTTTATTGCAATTGTTATTGTACGTTTTTTGGACTTTAAATAAACGGTGTGTGTTTACGGATTAATAATCATTTTAAACGTTGTAATGGCAGTGTTTTTTATTGCAATTGTTATTGCACGTTTTTTGGACTTTATTGCAATTGTTATTGCACGTTTTTTGGATTAAAACGGTAAATACAAAGATTAATTAATTATTAAAATTTAACTTTAAAAGCAAATATATCAGAAGTATAGCAACCAACATTACACTCAAGTGTTTGTACAAATACTTATGCCCCCGTTAGAACAGCACTGCACTGGAATACAATTTCCCGTGACCTTCGATAGATTGCTTCGTACGATTGTGCCTGATGAGTCACGTTCATATATTCGTGGTTTCTACTGTACATTGGTATACAGTGGAAAATACCTCCCACCGCGGTAACTGTCTATTCGCACCAATTGCACACCAACTGTTTAATACAAAGATAGGATTGCAACGCGAAAGAAAACAGCCGAGACAAGACAATACTAAGTGCAGGAACAACCCGACACGGACAGAGACAATAACGGTCAAGACGTTGACCACGACCAGTAAACTATAGGCTCCTGCAATAATACTAACTTCCCGGTCTAGGGGGATCCCGCGCCTTACTTAGATTTGAGTGTCCCCCAAACACCACACTGTCTATCCCTTCCGTCCTACCTCCTTCATGATCCTACTGTGCGTATAGCATCGGCCCGGCGAACCTGGGAATGGCTATTAAAACCAATGGCATTTCGCTCTCGAGCCCCAAATAAGTTACAGCACGGGACGCAATGGACATTCGCACCCAGTAAGCACGAGTGAAGCCGTGTCGGTGCTGGTGGCGGAAAAAAAATCGGCGTAAGGTAACAGAGACCTGTGCGGGATCCGGGAGCGATGAGGCAATGGGGCCGGTTATACGTCTCTTATACTCATACTCATACTCACTCAATACGGAAACCGTAGTGCTGTTTATAGATTCCCGTACGGTAATCTATAAACAGCACTACGGTTCTCGTATTGTTCAACTTTTGCGGGACGAGGGAAGGAAGGAAGGCAATTTATAAATCAGGCTTAAGGCTTATTAGCTACTCCTACTTTTGAAATGACCAAAAATACCTGCCCAAAATGTTTCGTCCGAAACTACTCGTTATTTATCTAATGAAAAATATACAATCACACCGTAAAGACGATTATGGAAAATATTTTATTCTTCTTTAGATTTATTGGCCATTAGCGCTATTTGGCCAGCACATTATATTTTTAAAAATTTGTTTACTGTTCAAGGGTCTCATTTAGAGTTTGATTATGTCTTTCGTGTGTATCGCTTGATGAAAAAGTGTGAAAAATAGTTGACTTTGACCCAGGAGGGACAAAATTGGATTCCGGGATTATATACCTGTACCTTTGGACTATATCGCAAACTTTGACCTTTTAGCGAGGTATTTTGTGATTTGTACACGAGAATTAGTGGATGATTCAAGATTGGAAAATTCACATGTCTGTGGTTGGATAGCTTCGTGAAGCGCATGGACGTTAAAACTTGTTTCTGGTCAAAATGGTACTAACATTGAAACCGAGACCATTAAGGCGTTTTGCCACCAAGAGATTAACTCATCCCTTGAATCATTTATCTACTGATTAGAACCATGTCATCTTTTCATTTCACTATGAGCACATAGCTTAATGCGCAGAATCTTCTGAGTATATTCAATCCTTAATCATCCAATCTATCTCGATTATTTTCATATAAATTTATAAATTCTTCATCCATACCAGTGTATTTTTATCCTGGGAAACCAATTTTGCCCCTCCTGGGTCGAGAAGTCACTTTTATACCTAATATAAGTTATATTTCAAAAACTATTTCATAGAGCTACCGCAGTGCGGTAGCTCTGGGTGCGGTAACCGCACCCTTGGGAGCGTTCACAAAATACGCCCGGATGCACACTTTTCACCCAAAGTCGTTCAGAAATGTGGAGTGAATTGCCTAGGTGAATCGTTTTGTCCGTTCGTAAAATTCACTCGGTCGTTAAATATTTCACCCCGCTTTGTAGCGGTGTGTTTAGTGCGTACATGCGCATTGGCATATTTATTTAAAATATTTTTGAGGTTATGTTAACGGTAAAGTTTACCGGGTAAACACTTGATTTTACATAAGAAGAAGAATACACAAACACTGTCAAACAGTGCAACAAAATGAAAAAAAAATGGATCCAGACAATTTTCTTGTGGTAAGAGGAGAAAACGGGAATTTCATAATAGATAATAAAAACATTTTAATGATTCGAAAGTCCGGTAAGACCAATAATTATAAAAAAGTATATGTTTTGTTATACTCGTATTTGCTTTTAGATCAGGAATTATTTTATGATGGTATATGATATCGTAACTACAAATGCAAAGGTTCCCGCTGTGATATCCATTTCTTTTTTTTTGTCTAAAACCGTTTTTAAATAAAAGTAAAATTAACCTTTTCAAAGACTTTTATAGTTTACCTTTATCTTTATGACAATTTAAGGTTAAGTTTCAGTTTGACATTTCACAGTTAAGCCGCAAAACACTCTAGCCCGTTCCAATATCGACAAAACGCTCTGGTTACCTGGGTAAATCACACCAATCAAAACACACTTTTTATCTGAACGCACTCCTTGAAACGCAAAATCGAACTCGTATTTGAAAATCTGACAACATCGCCGGCAGTATAACCTCATTTTTAAAGCTGTCAGATTTTATCCGGTTTTTTTAATTTCTTAAAAATAACAAACAGCTTATGTAAAAAAATGTCTTCTCCGGCTCCAAAATCTCCAGAACAATCGGTGAAAAGTAAAAAATATGACCGACAATTAAGGTAAGCATAATATTATTACATAAAAGTTTTATTTTGCATTTTAAATTTATAGATTATGGGGAGATCATGGGCAAAAGAATTTGGAAAATGCTAAAATATGCCTAATTAATGCAACAGCATTGGGAACGGAAATATTAAAAAGCCTTGTTCTGCCTGGAATTGGATTATTCACTATTGTTGATGGTGAAAAAATTTGTGAAGAAGATATTGGATCAAAGTAAATAAATATTTCATTTTTGAAGCCATAAGGAATATTTTATATATTTTTAGTTTTTTCTTGGAAGTAGACACATTAGGTTCATCAAGGGCGCAAATTGCAACACAATGTTTGTTAGAATTAAATCCCGATGTTAGAGGAGATTATATAGATGAAACTCCAGAGCATGTAATGTCACATACTCAAGATTTTTTTAATAATTTTACTGTGGTTATAGCTACAGCGCTTTCAGAGAAGTGTGTTATTTTTTCATAAATTACAGGGTGTTTTTAAATAATGTGTTAATACCTTCAAGTTATTTTGATTTAGGTGAAGGAATATTCCCATATGCCATGCCTATGATATAAACTGATAAAGAGCACTGTGTTGTTTAAGAAGGAAGCATTTTTAGGATGTATGTTCATATAATCTTTTCTTCTATAATCAACTCTAGAATGATTTGAATTAACATGTCATTTAGTAACAGCCTATACCTATTATATAATAATAATAATAAATAAATTTATTAATTTAATTTTTAGAACTCTTATACCTTTATCAAAACTCTTATGGGAAGCTAACATACCATTAATAGTGTGTAGAAGTATAGGATTCTTGGGCTACATAAGGCTACAAGTTAAAGAACACACAGTTATTGAATCTCATCCTGACAGTGAAAATCCAGATTTACGGCTTGGACAACCTTGGGATGCTCTTAAAGAACACCTTGATCAAATTGATGTTCCAAATTTAGATAAAAAAACTAGAAGTCATACACCTGCATTAGTTATACTGTATTATTTTTTAAAAAAGTATAGGGAGGAACATAATGGTAAGAAAGTGCTTGTAATAAAATCTTAATATTATAATACGAGCCCTAACACAAAAATGTTCGGACACTTCATAATTTATACAGAAATATTTTTCTTGAATACTATCTCAAAATTATTAGAAGTTATGAAAAATTCAGCTCATTTTAGCATATACCCCTCAAAGCGATTTTTATTTTTAAAAAGTTTACCTTTTATTTTTTATGAGTAAAAAAAGTTATAAATGGACCCATTAAAAAGAGCATAAAATATTATACAAACCCTGAAAATTTGGTAAAAAATAAATTAGTTATAAAAAAGTATAAGTAATTTAAAAATGCTATTTTTAAAGAGTTTTTGCAATTTTCTTAGGAAATGTACGGGAGATTTTGCAGATATATATATCGTTATAACTTTCTTATTATTTATACAATTTTTACCAAATTTTCAGGGTTTGTATAATATTTTATGTTCTTTTTAATGGGCCCATTTATAACTTTTTTTACTCATACAAAAAAAAGTTAAAAAGTTAGCCTTTTCTTAAAAGCTAAAAATAAAAGGTAAACTTTTTAAAAATAAAAATTGCTTTGAGGGGTATATGCCAAAATAAGCTGAATTTTTCATAACTTCTAATAATTTTGAGATAGTATTCACGAAAAATATTTCTGTATAAATTATGAAGTGTCCGAACATTTTTGTGTTAGGGCTCGTAATGGTTATGAAATAAATAAAGAAATATAGTATTTATTCTTCCATATTACATGAGTGATTTTTCAAAAGGTCGTATTTCCATTTGCAACACATTTTCAAAAAACGAAGGGTGATATAGATTATTAAAAAAAAAATCTGATGAATATATAATACTACTTCAGACCTGCTGTCATATTGGTGGTTTAAATTTAAATATTTATAGCAATGGTATTTTTTAAAATTATTTGGAAATAATACCTTTTGTATGAAATCATTTTGGAAATGTGCCTTTTTGCTGTGTACAAACTTGGAAATATTACTTTTTTATTGAATACCGTTTTAAAAAAATATATGCAAAAGTATCTTTATTGTGCTAACAATATTGAAAAATATGTAAGGCTTATATTTTAAGAATATCCATCTCTGGCTTATTACATAAACACATCACTTCTTCATCATATTCTTGACATTCAACATCTTGTGCAACACATTCACCATTTAATATATGCCTCTTAACCATACCTTTGTGATTTTGTCAAAAAATGGAAATGCGGCCTTTTAAAAATCACTCCTCACATGTAAAATATAATATAAACTCTAATGGCCAATGACTGAGGTCCTTCAGACAAATGTGCTTAAATTTTGAAATGTTTTTAATTAAAAATATAAAAAGGTCTACAAGAAATAGGTTTTTGTAAATTAAGTTAATAAAAAAATAATTATATAATTCTTATTTTACTCTAAATGTTTTATTTAGTTGGTGACATGGTAATTTTCATTGATAAAAAAAACTATATAATTATTATTTTGCTCTAAATCTTTTATTTAGTTGGTGACATGGTAATTTTCATTTAAAAACCAGAACATAATTTTTAATATGTTTAATTTTGAATATTAAGACTTTAACGACTAAATATTTACAGGTCTTCTACCAAAAACAAGATTAGAAAAACTAGAAATAAAGAAAATGATTGAGGAGAGTATACCCTCAGATGAGCATGGCCTAAACCTACTGGAAGAAAACTACAAAGAAGCAATTCATTATGTTAACACAGCAGTAACCCCCTTAAAAATCCCCAGTAACATCCAGGAAATACTGGAAGACGAATCCTGCGTTAACTTAACGCAAAATAGCAACCCGTTTTGGATTATGTGCGCAGCTTTGAGAGAGCTTGTGCAAACTGATGGTGCTCTGCCCCTAAGAGGCAGCTTGCCAGACATGGCATCTGACACAAATAGCTATGTGGCATTGCAGCAGATTTATCAGAAGCAAGCACAAGTACATGCAGAAATTGTTTATAGGAGGGCCGATCAAATTGCCAGGAATTTGGGCTTGGGGCAAGATGCTATCATAGAGAATGATGTAAGTAAAATATTTGAGATAATAATATGTTATTTATGAAATACCATACCATTAATTATGAAATCCATCATTTAAATGCAGAAGAAAATCGTTTATTACTTTTTTACTTGAAATAATAACAGAAATATGCTAAGTTAATAAATCTATTTATTTTAATCATTATCTGTTAAACCAGTTCTTAATCAAATGCGCAAGTTTTTGGTTTGGTTTTGTCCACATTTTCAACGTTCTGATTACGCGCCCTCTCTTTTAATATGTCTATGGTTTAAACTAGAAACACGTGTTTCTGCTCTATAGGGCGAGCCCAGCCTTTTGACGTAGCGCTTTCGACAAAACGCACCGAATTTGTTTTTGTTTACTTTTTTTTAATGATAGAATATCAGCGTATTTGGCAAACACGAAAAAAATAACAATTATTCCTCTGATAAAGCAAAAACAGTGCGCTCTCATTGGTGGCTTTAAATATTAAAAAACTCCATTGTAAATTCGAAAAAATGGTAAGTGTTTGAATTTCAAGAGAAATTTATCTACCCGCCAAATTTGGGAAACCCTGTAGGTAAAATATATTTTTAAAGGAAAAATTACTAACAAAGGTACAAGATAAAAAGTTCTAAGGAAGAACTTCTATCCCCAAAAATATATTAATAATAATCTTTCAACAACATTTTTGGACATAAGATTTGTTTTCTCGGAGCACAAATACCTACTATGTAATTAAATAAATATTCCTTTGTTAAAAAGTATGTGTGCGTGTTGGTTAGTTAAATATTTCCATTTCTATATATGCTTGGACACGTCCGTTAGATCACATGACCAATTTGGCCAATCAGAACGATGAACGTGGCTTATAGTTCGTCTACGGTAAGCGTTTCTCGAGACACTCTAGATCTAGTCACTACGTAAAAAAATCCCGTTTTTGGTAAACTTTTTTTCTTTTGTATTGAAAATTACTGCATAAAGGGAATAACACTTGCGCAGAAGTGTTTTCCTACAGATTTCAAAACTCAAGAAACCAAATACGATCATGTTAAAGGCTTAAAAATTGATTATTTAGTTTATTTTTTATGGAAATCTCGTTCATAAGTTCGTAAGATACAAAATAAAAAATGGCGTTTAAAAAAAATGTAACTTATTTTCTTGGAATCTGTGCTGTAAAAAAACTGAAATTATTTGTGAATGTGTCTGATGCCTCACAAAGAGGTAAGAAGCAAAAGGCTACAATTTTTTTTTAATTTTCTCATAACGTAAAAATTGTATGAGTTCTGCATGTTGATTAATGCAAGTATTAAAACAAGTATCCAGATTTTTGTATATAGCAAAAACTTTATTTAATAACTCCACTTTTTTTTGTTGCAATTGTACCCTTTTGCTTCTTACCCCTATATATATTAAATTTTGAAGACATTCTATTAAAACGCTTCAAATGGAGATACTACCTTAATTGAAAAGTTATACCCAAATTTTAAAATTACGATGCACAGCAAACGAAACGAAAACGACATGGATATTTGGTTTTGACAGTTAATTTGTCAAAACAATTTTTTTTAATTACCTACTTTAACTGTGTAGTTTAACGAGTTAAGAAAATGAAAAAGTTAATTTATGTTTTGTTACATACATTTTACTTTACCTTAAAGAACAATTAAAATAGTATCATAGTAAAGCTTATTATTATTATCATTATTAAAATATATTTTCCGTTCAAAAATTTAGTTAAGAGTTAAGAATGTTTTTTACAACCTTTTAGATACAAATATCAGTTTAAAATGTAGGGTAAAGTTAACTGCATTCCTGTTGGCTCCGGAAAGAAATTTCTCGTTCCCAGTATGCATACATTGAATTTGGCCTTTTTAATTTTTTCCGTTTTCGTTTCGGTTACCGGGCTGTTGTGCAGCGGCCTTACGAATTTTTGGCGACATATCCATAGGATTTTTTTTCACAGTTTCATACATCAAGATCGTAAAGTTTGGCCAGCCATTTTAGTATCACCCAGTATATTATTATATATTTTCGTTGCATGTTTTGTTTATTAGTATTTATTAACGACGTCAATTCAACAAAGAGTTAAGGTCTAATTTAACTTGCAAATCTTGTTTGTTTAGCTAGTTATTGCATTTCCAGGTAAAATTGTTCTGCAAGCACGCAGCCGAGCTGCACGTGATGAGGACCTCTTGCATAGCGGACGAATACGAGAAAACCAACGTCGATCTTTCGTCCTACTTGGAGGATTCGGACAGCCTAATGTTCTACTACATCATGTTCCGCGGCCTGGAGCGATTTATAAGCGAGTTCAACGCGTATCCCGGCCAGTTCGACGACCAAGTCGAACCGGACGTGCTGAAGCTGAAGGGCATCCTCAGCAAGCTGCTGAACGAGTGGGGATGCTCGCATGCGCTGAGGGACGAGAGGGTGCACGAGGTTTGCAGGTACGGTGGCGCCGAGTTGCACTCAGTCTCGGCGGTACTGGGAGGATGCGCGGCTCACGAAGTGATCAAACTTATCACGCATCAGTATAAGCCTCTGAACAACACTTTTATTTGCGATGTTATTTCTTCGAACACGGCCACGTTCTGCCTTTAGGTTTTTTCTTGATTTGTGTTTGCTTTAATTTCGTACTAATTTAATTTTATTTAAATAAATTTTAATTACCAAATATTTGGTATTTTTAAGTCCAACAAGCTATATCCTGACAATCATCTCAAAACCAAGAGTTCACTTTTTCATTTGTAAAAAATTAAATAATCTAATTATAACTAATTAATTAATTTTACCTCCAAAATAAAGCGGCGATTAAAAAGTTAATATGAACTTTTTCCTGAAAATCATTAAGGATTGAGCCCATTTAATATTAGAATTCAATTAAAAAACACCCTGTATATATTATATAAATTACATAATTAATTTCACTCTAATAATTGTAGGTTACAGTTGCCAAGATAATATTAATTAACTTATTTTCATCGATACATTTTGAGTATCATACACACACCTTAGGGTGATTCAAAAAATGTACTATTCCTTTTTTTGACTATTTTGATATCGAAAAATTGATTGCTAAGCACCTCAAAAGGGCTTTATCTACCGTAGATAATCTACGTATGATCTCTTACTATTTTGCATTCCATTTTTACATTAGTCCGATAAAAAACCTTTTATATCTCGCTAATATGAATGTGAATATAAAGCTAAGCTCAATACATATTTTAAAAGGAAATTAAATGCTCTACAAAAAAAGTCCTTTATGTTTTTTTCGAAAACCTATCCATTCAAAAGATATCTTGGTCAAAGTTTAAAAAGTTAAATATATATATATATATATATATATATAGTACCTATATTTTTTAAATTTTATACCTTGGAGAATATTTTGAAATTAGTAGTGCATTTTTTAGTTGAAAATTATCTTATGTACAAAAAAGTTTTCTTTTGTTTTTTCGATATTGAAAGATCAATCTTAAATTAAACAAGAAAAAACATTAGGTTTTTTGTGTTTATTTTTTTATTAATAAATAGGATAATTTTATTTTCATTTTTGTTACATGTATCATAATATATTATATTGTACATCATGTTAAGCCATTTAATAATATAAGTTAGTGATAAGCCGGATTTAAGCAATTTAAGCAATAATATTAGGGTGACAGTTTAAAAGTTTTCTCTCATTCTAATTCTTATCTTATTTTCTAAAAATAATATGATATAGGTAGGTATGTATTTTTGTGTTCTGAATTAAAACGTTTATACGCAAAAAATACATACATTGTGACCCATTTATTTGCGACCCACCCCTGTAAAATCTTTATTTTAGGTGCGATTTTAACCGGATTTGTTTTAAAGTGTGGATCTTGATAAACTGTATTTTTGAAACAAAAGACGCCATTTTAGTACAAAATACATGGCCTACTATGTCAGTTTTTAAGAGTAAATTTTTAAGAATTCATATTGGCTATTTTTATAAACAAAATCTAAGCACGGCACTGGATTCAACACCCCTTAAAACGACCCTTTACTAAATTTTATTGAAAAATTTTAAGTAGAAAAATGCACAATAATAACTACAAAAATTTGTTCTTTCAAGTTATCCATGAAAAAACATTGAAATAAAATTAAACTTATAGTATTAGTACCATGTTACTATTAGTTTAATTTTATTTCAATGTTTTTTTTCATGGATAACTTGACAAAATAAATTTTTGTAGTTATTATTGTGCATTTTTCTACTTAAATTTTTTTTAAAAAAATGTAGTATAGGGTCCTCAGGTTTGAGGGGTGGTGAATCCAGATTTTGTTTAAAAAAATCGCTAATATGAATTCTTAAAAACTGACATAGTAGGCCTTGTATTTTGTAAAAATATGGCGTTTTTTGCTTCAAAAATTCAGTTTATCAAGATCTACACTTTAAAACAAATCCGGTTAAAATCTCCTAATAAATAAATATTTTACAGGGGTGAGTCGCAAACAAAGTCGTTTTTTCGCGTAAATACCATGAAATACTATGGTTATTAAACTTAACCTTGGTTAATAGTTAAGGCATTTTTGCGTTTAGAGTGCGTTCAAAAATTCTAACTATGACGTCACAAATACCAGACCATAAAACTATATCGCTGAGCTAGTTATTCAACGTGGTTAATAGTCTTTCTCTTTTTAATATATATTTTTCTGTTTCGATCTGTCAAAAAGTTGTTTACATTTGAAATTTAAAATATTTTAAGGAGGTACAATTGCTCTTAAACCGAATTTAAACTTTGTATTAAAATGGTAAACGGGGTGTTGTCAGTAAAAATAAATGATAGGGTGCTCCATATTGTGGACTTATTTTGTATTAAACATGTAGGAGAATTGGATAACGTGTACTGAAAAAACTAGTACCTATAGAAAAAGAATTTACTAGGTACCTACCTATAAGAAGAGGCAAAGAAATTTATTTACACCGGTAAAAGCATAGAAATTAAATATAAATAGGTAAAAACACATTTTAAAAATTGTAGGTTATGAACAAGTAAACAAATGTCAAATGTTAGAAACCTAACCATGGTTATATGAATTAACTGTGACGTCATGACTTATTTAGTATTACATAGTATTTACGCGAAAAAACGACTCAAATGGGTCACACTGTATATTAGGAAGAAATTATCTTGACACTGACAGAAATTTAACCTTAATTATTTATATCAAAGTCGCGTGGTGAGACTTTTGGGAATGGACCATAGTACATACCCGATCGGGTATGGCGAGACTTAAATGTTATAAAATGACGCTAGCTTTTAACGGACGTGCGATATTTCAAAAAAATATCCTTTTCATTCAAAATAATCAAATCAACAAACTATCGATGTATCAGCTATCGATAAATTAATAAATGGTAAAATGTAAAAATCAAATTTTCCTGTATATATTATATACAGGAAAATTGGATACCTACTGCCAATCCCTACAAAATCCCCAATCGAGTAGATTCCGTGCAGTTTGGGGAATTCCCAAGAAATCGGCAACACTGATATATATATATATATATGATTTACTCTTGAAAATTAACATAGCGCTTAGCGGCAATAAACCAATAAAACATCAAACGAAAAACCAATTGAAGGGATTAGAGCTGAAACCGCCCAAGTGCATTTTTAAGTCAAAATTTTTTAAGCGTACGCCGGATAGTAGAAAATTTTGACTTAAAAATGCACTTGGTTGGTTCAGCTTTTCCCTTCAATTAATATAGAAAATAACGTTTAAGAAAAATCACACATAATTTTTCCCTGCTTTAGCGGAAGCTCTTTTCCAACATCCTTCTCTATTGACAATATAGCCAAACCCACTAGTCGTTCTTGGCACATACCTTCTTGATCTTAAATATTTTTTTATTTATTTTAATTTTAAAAACCTCTTTTCCCGGCGTAATAATAATTGTTTTAAACGGATACAGGCAACTTCAAATACACATTTAGTAACATTTAACTTAATGATAATAGATGACGATACCTACTATAGATATATATCTATAATAATAATATTATCTCTGGCAATGACCAGATATTATTTTGTCACGCTGTGCTTACAGCTTGCCATGTTGCTAAAATGTAGTTAACCGCACCGTTTGCACATGCCTCACGCCGGCAATAACTTATGTTGACTTTTTACAAGACATACAAATCGTACGAGCCAGCTTCTGCACAGAACATATCGGCCGGGAGGAAGGAAGGAATTCCTTAAGGCAATTGCCTTAAGGAATTTCTTCCATTAATCAGGCTTATAAATATAACGATAACCACTAGTCCCTAACGTTAATCACTTTTTATAATAAAACTAAATAAAAATAAATATGTTATAAGAAAGTAAATTTGGCCCACTTTGGAATTCCAAATTAATTTCCGTAGAATTATAATTACCTAAGAATGAAATATTTCATTGAATATTTTGTTGTACTTTTTTTTAAAGAAGGTTTAAAAAATAAATATTTGAAAAAAACGTCTTGATTAGTCAGTTTAAAAAAAAACAATTTGCAATGGTTTGCCTAAAAAATAGCAAAAATTTACAGAAACGTTTTTAGTATGCTACCCATTGGGTACCATACTAAAAAAGTAATAGGTATATGATGCTACCCCAGTGGGGTAACCCCACTGAAAACGTTTCTGGTTAAATAAAATATAAAAACGTGAATATACCTCGTACATGTGATAATAAGCGATTAAATTGTAATATGTGATAATGAGCTATTAAATTTGGCAACGTGGCCATCCCAACAAATTTTTCTATGCGGAACATAACCTTTGTACCGCAAAATTTGTTTTTAAAATTTTAATATACATATATAGTAAATTAATTAGACTAAAATGGTGATACAATCGACTTGCAGAACGCTACAAGCTTCGAAAATATTATTTAGAAAGTATGGTACGGCAGGAAAATTGGTAAATGTGGCAGTAAACGATAAAACGGGGGTAGCCACAGTAACAATGCAGAGGGCCCCCGTTAACAGCTTAAATTTGGACTTATTAAACGATTTATCGACCACTTTAACCCAATTGGAAAATAACAAGTGCCGAGGTATGATATTGACTTCATTCTCCAACAGTGTGTTTTCGGCTGGTTTGGATATAATGGAAATGTATAGGCCGGATGCAGATAGGGCAAGAAGCTTCTGGACAACGCTTCAAGAAACCTGGATTAAATTGTACGGAACATCTTTTCCAACAGTGGCTGCAATTAACGGGCATGCTCCAGCAGGTGGTTGCTTATTGGCAATGAGCTGTGAATACAGAATTATGCTCAATAATTTTACGATTGGCCTTAACGAAACACAATTAGGAATAGTCGCACCAACATGGTTTATTGCTACCATGAAAAATACCATTGGATTCAGACAGACTGAATTGGCTTTAACACAAGGCAAATTATTTACCACAAATGATGCAATGAAGATTGGTTTGGTTGATGAATTGGCTGACAGTAAAGAAGATGCTCTTGCTAAGGCTGAATCATTCTTATCTAAATTTGCCAGAATACCCCCAATGGCAAGAATTCTTACAAAACAATCTGTTAGAGGAAAGGATATACAAGATCTTATTCAAAATCAAGAAAGGGACCTTAACGTTTTTATGGATACTATTACCAATGACCAAGTACAAAAAAGTCTACAAATGTATGTTGAAGCACTTAAAAAGAAAAAGGCTTAAAATATTTGTATAGAATGGTCTGCTCATAGATTAGATAAAGGGTCTGCTCTTGGCCCCTCACTTACTCCAACAAACAGAACAGAAGCTTTTTATACCTAACTACTTTTTTAATAAATAATTTTTGTTCTTACTAAGAATTGTATCATAGTAAAATGCTTTATTTTTTGTAAATTAAAACAATTGCTTTTTATTACCTTTCTATAATTTCATGATATCCAGGTAAATAGGTATCTAGGTATTATACCTATAATAGGTACCCATATAATGTGGGCCACATTATACAATTAAATTCACAGAGGTGTGATTAATTTGTATCATGGGTATCCAGCAAGGCATTCTTATTTGCAAGTTTGATTTCTAATAAAATATAAAATAATTCTTTGGATAACAATTGTTATAATAATTAATTATTTTGTTTTCTAAAAATTAAAAAAGCATCTGATAAACATAATATATATTTGTCACAGTTATATAAACAAAGATATAGGCTGATAAACGTCAAATTTTGACGTTTGTCTCCAATGGAGACTCTCCATGCATCTAATCTATGATGCATGGGGACTTGTTAAAGTTTGGCAACGTTGCATCCGGGGTGTTACTCACCTAACCTAACATTCGGATCAAAATACTTTGCTTGTTTGCAAATTTGTGTAACCTTTATGATCTGCGATTTGTGTTATCTAAAATGAGTGACCCCGGCAACGATAGAAATTTGACCTCAAGTCCAGTGTCTTCGCAATCAGTTGAAGAAAGTGACTCACTGTTGCCATCCAGTCTCGCTGCAGAGGAACTAAAATTGGCACTAAACAAAGTAAAACACAAAATTTTGTTTATATTTGTGCAATAGTGCAATGGATGTTTTCAGGAAGCAACGTCGGAAGAACTTCTAAATGCAATAAATAGATGCAAAGATTTAGTTTTAGAGAGTGACCAGTGTTCGGTGGAACGAAAATGGTTGGTGAGACATTTAATTGAACTTCGATTAAGACTGCAAGAATGTAAAGAAGCCATGGAGGATCCAAAGTATGTTAAATAAAAATATTTGTTAAAAAAAAACCAAATAATTTTCTGTAGGCATCCTCGTAATAAAACAAGTGGTGTTTCCAGAAGAACAGTCAAAGGTCACCACTTAAATCTTCAACCATTATTAAGAAATACAACTTCAAAATATTGTGATCATTGTACAGGAACAATATGGTAAATATATTATTAACTTAATATCTTTTTCCTACAACAAATTTAAAGAAATTGTTAATGCTAAATTATACAGGGTGTCCTGGAAATTGTGTGCAATATGAGGTGCAATACTTACACATGTGGTGTTTTTAAATACAAAAATTGGAAGAAATCTCATAAACATAGGTTGGCAAATGGCCCCTAAGGGAGCTACAGCCTCTTAAAGAGGCACCCCTGAAAATGGTTTTTGTTATTATATTTAAAACGGTTTAGGATAAAATAATCAAATTTTGTATGCTGACTTCCCTGACGCCCAAATTTTTTATGTGCAATTTTTTTTGCAGGTTGGCTCCAGAATATAAAAAATTAAATTTTCTTAAGTAAAAATAAATACTTAAAATGCACCATTTTCGAATAAATAAAATAACAAATTTAAAAAAAAATGCTGTTTTATTTATTAATATTTAACACGAAATATTATTACAAAAATACATTTTTTCCCCGAATATATATTATTTTATCTCAAACCGTCTAAGAAATAATAATATAAAAAAATCTTCAGGTCCCTTAGGAGCCATTTGCGGACCAACATATAAAGTTTACATTCTATTTCATATAACTAAAAGTTTTCTTCCTATTTTTGGCCATAAAAATCGCTTGTAGAGTATTACACACTATTTTCTGGACACCCTGTATAGGTACCATGTAAATTATAATACTTAGAAGGATGTATAATAGGTGTTTTGGCGGTGCTAATCCCGAAGTAGTTCGGACATCCTAGGCATGCGCATTTTAATATTTGTCATGCGCATTAGCGATTAGCTCCGCGAAAATAGCTATTATAATACTTCTATTACGGCCATTCCAAGCCCATGGACAGGACACATCAAAAACATGTCTAAATATATTCTTATTACTTCCTTAAGTTTACTTATTTTTTCTACGAGTATTTATGAGAAGTATTAGCCAAATTTGGCTAATACTTCTCATAAATACTCGTAGAAAAAATAAGTAAACTTAAGGAAGTAACAAGAATATATTTAGACATGTTTCTGATGTGTCCTGTCCATGGGCTTGGAATGGCCGATTAGTATTTTTTTAAATGAAAGTTCAACAATGTTGGTAAAATTAGAGTAAAGTTACATAATTACAAGCTTATTAAAATAAAAATTATAAATTAAAAAAAAATCCAGCTGCAAAATATTTTAAGATAACCAAAACCATTAATAAGCTGTTCTCCAATAATTTAAAAATAACTGATAATCTGTAAAAACCAAAAATCATTATAACATTGTTATTCCTGGGAATTTAAAAAAAAAGTTAATTTAACATGTAAACATACACAATGTACACTTATATACATACATACATTTTCACGAAATTTCTTTGCTACTAAATTTTGATCTACTATCACTAGAGATGTAAAAAAACGTTTTTTTTTCAGATCTGAAAAAAAACATGAAAAAAAAACCTAAAAAAACGGTTTTTTTTGTTTTTTTTTAAATGAAATGTATATTAATAATAAAGTAAAATGTAGAATATATTACATTTTTCATTATTGAAAATTTTGATCGAGACTAAAAAATCTGATTTCTTATTATTTGGTAGTTTCCACATTAGAAACCAATAGCAATGTAAAACTTCTACACTAATTCAAAAAATTAAAGTATAAATGCGATTCTTCGGATAGCTGTATCTTTGTTAAAAATGGTCGTATTGGAGCCGTAAAAATTGAAGCTTGAAGTTTCTAGTTTTGAGATTTTTAGATGAAAAACGTGCAACGCTCAGTCCTAACGAATACCGTAATAAAAAAATTGGCTTTCTGGTCCACAGAATGTTCTGACTTAACCAACAATGAATAAATTTTCTACAAGAATTTGCTATTCTGTGGGTAAAAGGCATAAGGGGATAAGTCAAAAAAATGAATTTTTTAGCAGTGCCTTAAACGTGTTCGCATTAATTTAGGAAATACATTTATGGTTAGCGGGTATACCCTTTTGCCAGCACATGTCATATGCTAGCAAAAGGGTATACTCGCTAACCATAAATATATTTCCTGAATTAATGCGAACACCGAAAAATTGCTTTTTTTGACTTATCCCCTTATGCCTTTTACCCACAGTATTGTTTAAAAAAAAATTGGAAAATCATGAAAAAAAGTGCTTTTGGTAGCTTTTTGAAAAATCAATCGCTGAATGAAATATATTGGTCAATTTGGTGGTGGTGGCGCGTGCATAGCGCGAGACTGTATTTACATTTACTAAATGTCATTTAGTGGCTAATTTTAGTCCATGAACTGGACTGGAAACATAACAAACTAAGCAAATAGGACAAATCTTGAAAAAAAACCTAAAATGTGAAAAAAACCATTTGAAAAAAAAAACAATGAAAAAAACAAAAAAAACGGACCGTTTTTTTTCAAGTCGCATCTCTAACTATCACCATATTTTGTATCTAACCATGTAAAATTTCAATATGGTGGTTATAGAAAAAACAAAAGGGATGGTGGCAACTCAAAATCTAGTACGCAAAAAAGTCACAAATTGGATGAAAATGTAGATTTATATTTTTACATATACTGTGTTAAGACGCACCTTCTAACCAGGCCTATAAATTTGTTGATAAAAAAAACACATAGTAGTAATATCAAAAGAATTCGTTAAATACCCTACAGAGGCCAAATCAAAAAATGGAATGGAGCAGCCGACTTGGTGCAGGGTGTATATAATCATTATAATCATCAATAAGTCCACTTTCACATTTGAATAAGGAATGTAGTCAAATAATTTGGTTGATGTACTTGTTAGTTTAACGCTAATTTTGTCTTATTTTCTGAAAATAATACAATGTATATTTCTTCATTTATAACACAAAAAAATTGTTATTTTCAGAAAATAAGACGAAAACAGTGTTTAACTGACAGATACATAAACTCAATTATTTGACCGCATTCCTTCAAATGCCAAAGTGAGATTTATTGATGTGAAGCATAGTACATATGTATGTTTGGGAACTCGGTATTGAAGGATATACATTGTAAAACATTCAAAGAATTCTAAAAAAATCATTAAGTAATGTTTCTGACCCATTTGAGATCTGCTTTCCTAGCTATTGCTTTTTTAAAAAGTTTTTAGGAAGCAAGGAAGTTCTTAAATATCTTTAATTTAATAACCTATTATGAGAGATGGCCAACTTTTATCTTCTTAATGATAATGTTAATTTTTATTCCTCCTGCGCAGGTTTGCGGCGCAATTTTTAAATAAACCGTGTCAGTAATGCCAACATACCCGAAAATAAAATGAAACTTACTGCTGAATGATTGATTTTTTATTCAATGATTGTGTTCTTTGGTTTATTGTTTGACGTGGAGTTTATAGTTTTCATTTATTTTACTTAACAGATGCTAAAACGGGATTAAAACAAAATTCAAACAAACCAAAAATGTCAGATGTCAAAATTACTTTAACTTATACGCATGCTTAATTTGCTACTAATTTTGCTGCATAAATACCCTCCTATTAATGTTAAATTAATCTTAATCTTAATGTTAATCTTAATGTTAATTTGTGCTGCATAAATCCACCATTAATATTATATTTTTAATCAATAATAAAAGAAAGGAAGCGTGAAAAAATGTGCATTTTAAAATTATCTATTATTTATAACATTTTTTAGGTCCACCTTGTATCTTTTTGATATGTATTTAAAACAAAATATAAAAAAGTGGTGTATCAAATCAAAACCATTTATTTAAATCGATACAAGTATATTAAAGGGCCTAAAAGTATGGTATTTTAAGGTTAGGTACAATTAAAAAAAAAAGTAATTACAAAAATATTTATACAGCAAAACTCAAGTTCAGATGACAAGTTGTTAGTTTTAAAGGAAATGTTCAAAATTTTCATTTTAAATTTTATAAGTAGAAAGAAGAGATAGTAAAAAAAAATTAAATTAAATTTTATAAAAACCTATTTTCAAGTTTTAAGACCAGAGGATTACCCAAAAGAGTCATTCCAAATAAAAACACCAAATGGGGTGCGCTGCGTGATTTTTTATTTTGATGAAAAAATTTGAGGATGATCTTTTAGGTGTCAAATATGAAAATCCGTTGCCGTTTTAATTTTTTGTTGCTTTACTTTTATTTGGCACCCCTTAGAAGTCTGAAATAGTGTCAATTTCTTACTCTCTTATAGTGGGCCAGAACTTTTTTTCTGTGACAAATATTGAAACAATTTTAATTTTGTTTTACTGTCCAGTAAGTGTGTTTTCAATATAAATTATTATTATCCAATTAGTTAATCTCATGAAAGAATTGTAAACCACTAAAGATTCATGATAATTTGCCAATTTTTGTGATTTTTGTCTGGCTCCTGTGCCTATTCTACTGAATTTAGAAGGTTCATTTTTTTCAGGTATAAAGTACTTATACAATAGAAAACTTAACTATTATTTTAAGTTTCTAGACTATCAATTTCTTTATTAAAAAAATTATTGAAAATTGATAATTCTCAAAATTAGCCAATTTTGCCCTCAGAAATCATTATGTTGAGGAAAAAATAAAAATCTGAAACTTTCAGGAAATGTAGTCCCCACCTTTATCTTCTCAGTCCAGTTAGTCTTGTTTTGTTATTTTTATTCCTTTAAAAGATATATTAATTTTTTTAATGCCCGTTTAGTAGCGATATTGTTAGTTTTATTTATAATTTAAAATTTAGATGGCTTTCATGTTTGGTGGAGAAGTGTCAGAACTGTCAAAAATATTTCATAAATATTATTTGTGCGTATTTCTTTGATAAATTTTGTATATAACATAATATGTCATATTATGTTATATATAAAACTTTTAAAATCACCAAAGGAATACCACAAATAATAATTATGAAATATTTTTGACAGTTCTGAAATTTTTGGTAGTTATGTTATATTTTATGTATTGAAAAATCATATATATATGTATATATATATATATATATATATATATATATATATATATATATGATTATATATTATATACATTATAACGAAGTATTTAATTGGCTAATTGGTGTTTAAAGAAGATAAAAAATATATTCAAGATCCTTATGGTTTATATCGTTAAGTATAATAAGTGAAATTAATAAAGAGTTAATTTAAACGTATAAAAAATGCGTTAAGCAGTTTTTTGTCGGTTTCTTTCACAATTTAAACCAAGTTAGTCTTGTTCTATTATTTTGATCCCTTTAGTAAGGCACTAAATAGTAAAAAGTTAAATGCATACATACAGTAGAAACCGTCAATATATGAACGTGACTCATCGGGTGCCGAACATATCTCAGACATGCTAGCAGTAATGTTTTACTTGTCTTGTACATTCGATGCAGCGGTAAATGTACTCACACGTAGGTTTTTAAGCATCCGGTCTAAAATGCGCCATCTGTGATGTAAAACTGCCTAGGTGTTGGACAAAGATGGACATATGACGCTTGTGTCCTAGCTTGTTACTTAATTTTATTGGAAGTCAGTAGAGTTCGTGTTTTAGGAATTTATTTTATTTTATTACATAGTAAGGCAACCAACTTTACCGTCGGCCATTTGTTTTTATATGTCATATGATCTTTGTTTTTGCATATCTTGTTTCTACTGTGTGTTTACGGATTAATAATCGTTTTAAACGTTGTAGTGGCAGTGGTTTATATTATGTAACACAGGTAGATGTCGTATAAAAATCCTTACCTAGAAATTCTAGGCTAGAATACAAAAATATTTTTATTATACATATAAATTTTGTACTAGTATTAGTTTAATACATTCTGAAGAAGCTACTGTGTAATATTTAATAAATTTCGTGAAACTAACGCAAGTTGTTTTTATATCCACACAATTTAAATATCTTTCACTTTGTACCTGAACTGCGTAAACATTTTTGTTTTTTGTCACCAATTCTGAAATATTTGCGTTTACAGTTAAAAGAATAGTATATTCTGTAACAAGTTTGACGGTTTCACGAGAGGGGAATATGCAATTCCAAACGTGTTTCAGACTATACTAAGAATTTAATTGGAAGAAAGTGAGGTTGGGTCGGTCTAAAAATTTGTTATTAAAATCAGAGATGTCGCCACGAGTGTACGTTCTGTAATCAGATGATAGAATATTTCATTAAAGTTAAAAGAAAAGTTTATTTATTAATTAGTTTCTAAGAAAATTACATTTTATTTAATTATCGTAGATGTTAATTATGTTAGATGTTAATTATTTAAATTTAAAAGCAAATATATCATAAGTATAGCAACCAACATTACACTCAAATTTTTTTACCTACGAGACTGCACTGGACCGTGACCTTCGATAGATTGCTTCGTACGAATGTGTCGGATGAGTCACGTTCATATATTGACGGTTTCTACTGTACATGTATGTATTTTAAATGTTAGTGTTGGAAAAAATTTACACAATCTGTAAATACTTCTTTAAATTTTAGTTTTTATGTAACTGGTTAAAATAAAACATGTTATAATAAAGGGGTTTATTTAGAATATTTTTTGGTTTTTGCTTATTTTTAACAATTTAAAACTTCTCAGAACTTAAATATTTTCTATAAGAAAGAGGTACAAAATTATGATATGTTCTTGCATTTTTAATTGCAATTAAATTCATGAATCTCGAACACTCATTTATTACACTTGCAAACTTTTTGAAATCACAATTTAAATACGCACAAATAAAATTTATGAAATATTTTTGACAGTTCTGACATGTCTCTAACAAACATGAATTGACAAAGTCAAAGCCATCTAAATTTTAAATTATAAATAAAACTAACAATATCGCTACTAAACGGGCATTAAAAAAATTAATATATCTTTTAAAGGAATAAAAATAACAAAACAAGACTAACTGGACTGAAAAGATGAAGGTGGGGACTACATTTCCTGAAAGTTTCAGATTTTTATTTTTTCCTCAACATAATGATTTCTGAGGGCAAAATTGGCTAATTTTGAGAATGATCAATTTTCAATAATTTTTTTAATAAAGAAATTGATAGTCTAGAAACTTAAAATAATAGTTACGTTTTCTATTGTATAAGTACTTTATACCTGAAAAAAATAAACCTTCTAAATTCAGTAGAATAGGCACAGGAGCCAGACAAAAATCACAAAAATTGGCAAATTATCATGAATCTTTAGTGGTTTACCATTCTTTTATGAGATTAACTAATTGGATAATAATAATTTATATCGAAAACACACTTACTGGACAGTAAAACAAAATTAAAATTATTTCAATATTTGTCACAGAAAAAAAGTTCTGGCCCACTATAAGAGAGTAAGAAATTGACACTATTTCAGACTTCTAATGGGTGCCAAATAAAAGTAAAGCAACAAAAAATTAAAACGGCAACGGATTTTCATATTTGACACCTAAAAGATCATCCTCAATTTTTTTCATTACAATAAAAAATCATGCAGCGGACTTTTAAATTCATTTTTGGTGTTTTCATTTGGATTGACTCAAAAATTAAGTAGTAATATGAAATATTAAATTATCAATGACAAAATTTTTATTCCTTTTTGCAGACCTGCAAATTTTTATTAATTAATAATTTTTAATTTAGGGGTGTAGTGCAAGCCTGGTTTGAATGTGAGGATTGTGGTTACTCATGTCATCATAAATGCATGGCCTCCATAGTAAGAGAATGTGCCCATGTGGTTGTTACAGAAAGAGGGACATATGAACTACAAATATGCCCTGAAAATGGGTTATCATATCAAAAATACATGTGTGCTGAATGCAAAACCCCATTGCCATTGGGTAAGTCATTATTTTTATTTGTTGTTTGTTAATATTATTGCTAAAACATAGTGCGGTATTTAATATTATTAATACTAGCTGTCCCAACTGGAATCAGCTGCCTTGGTAAATTATTTTTGTCAGGTAATTACTGGTTTTGCTTCAAGTGAATTTGCTTTTTGTGTGTAGGTATTATTTACGGGTGTAACTCTCTTAAAATTATAAACATTTTTGTATGATTTTTTAGCAACTTTAATATGAATAATTAATTCAAAAAATAGATTGCTATAAAATTGGTTTGCCTATTGCAACCAGGAAAAACAATGCTCAAGCGAAAATAAAACCATTAAAACTTAAAACAATTAATTTAAATTGAAATTTGAAACGGGTAATAAATCATGTCTCGCTACCTTTAATTTATGGAATTAGGACAAATATTCAATCTGAATGCTTTGTCGTTATCTACATATACTTCGGATTTCGGAAAAATTAAGTAAAGTATACAGTGCGGCTTAAGAGAACAGTATTCTCAGAACACCAATGGAAAGTGCGCGATCTTATTGGCTTAATATCAACTTAGTAGGATTTCTACACAATAGAGTAGTTTTAAAACGGCATTGGTAGAAAATTGTATCGATAGTACTACTACTAACTTAGTAGGACAGTAGGATTTGAAATAGTTTTCGTTAATAAAACGTTACCAAAAAAATATCTGTAGCTTGTACAGTGTGACAGTAATTTTGGAAAATAAAGATTGTTTTTATTTTATTATAAGAATTGAGTCTATTTATTGTCTGATTTATTTTTATAAAAAATCATAGTTGTGGTTCTGGCCGATTTAGTAGGATTTTTATGTTTGAATAGTAAGATGGCTGACAAAGAGTTGGCAACACTGCATACAACATTTTATCTTTAAGTTGTAATGTTTTTTCGTAGGTCTTTCACCTTTATGTGACTGGGAAAAACACCTTCCTATGTTGGGGTGGGTACCTGGGTACCCAGATTATATTAATTTAGATATTAATGTATTTATAAGTAAAAATAAGTAAGCTATACCTACGTGTTTGAATAAGTAAGCTAAATTCGTCGCGGCGAATGTTTGAAATTGCGTCATGAAATTCTGAACCAAGCACCCCAGCAAACAAATTGACGTCAATATTACGTCATAATCCGGTGATCTAACGACGTAATGACGTCAGTGAATGACTGAAAAACGACGTGTTTAACACGTCACCTTTAGGGCTAAATGTCAAAGCCCACTGGCGTCAAAAAAATGACGTTTGCTAACGTAATCTTATGACGTATATTATAATTACGTCAGTGAATGTCTAAAACGCGACGTGTTTATCACGTCACTTTTAAAGCAAAATATAACAGTCCACTAACGTAAAAAAATGACGTTAACTCACGTCATCTTATGACGTCAATTGTACTTTAATAGGGCCGTACTTGTCACATAACTGGTATCTTTAAGGCGATGACGATCACCAATAAACGACGTCTGAAACACGTCATCTGACGTCACTCTGTTTGCTGCAGGGCTGGATGCTCCCGTGTACGAGTTTTGGTTCGTCCCGCGCATGACGTCACTTGATGAGTAGTTGCCGTGAGAATACACGAATAATACTAATATTATTGAAGAAAGTGTTATAATATGGATAATAGCGACGGGTCACCCACACCTGGCAATCCCTGGACATTTTAGAGCGGGAATACCATAGGAATATATAGGAATACAATAAAATATAATGGAAATACATGGGAATCCCTGGACGTTTTCCCTTTGGGTGGTTGACCCCTCGGATAATAGATGCTTTCAGTCCTTGATAACATTTAGGGATGTAGTTTAAGCGTTGGTGTTTTAAATTAAACTTATAGTCACTGTCCAGAAAATGTTTATAGGAAACAGAAGCGGTCTTAACTTTAATATTGTCTATTCTTTTTGTGGTATTTAAAGACTGTTTCCACAAATCAAACTTTTTCGGGAATCGATTAAATTTAATGTTTTTATTTAAAGGGTTTTTCTTGGACTGGTTGTCCGAATTGCATGCAAATATGCCAAACCGCATTTTAATAAATGCAAATGGCACGACACAAACTAAAACACAAACAGAACAGGTTAACCTGTTAATTAACACGCAATAACAATAATTTGAACACTGAAAAGTAATTATAACCTTACCGAACACAAAAACAACAAGTTAAACAAAAAATAGAGCAAGTTAACATCTAAAAGCATCGCAAAAACAAGAATTTTAGCAGCAGATAATTAAAAAGCACGTTAAAGATTTAAAAACACTCATAAAGTGACGTATTTAAGCCCCGCCCAACATGCGCACCATCCTATCTTAAGGTGTATGTATCTTGTATGTAATCCAAGGAACCGCTAGATTAGGGTACAATCACTCGGATCTAAAACGAACATGACCGATGTCACGCTCAAGCAGCATGTAGTTAAACAAGAACAGAGCGCAATTTTGGATGTGTAATATTTTGGTTGACCACGCACACAGCATTAACAAGTTTTTTTAAATTTAAAAACAACTTGTCAGAGTTTTTGTAAATTTTGTATGTACGGTTTCACTACATGTGCACCCCAATTCAAAATTATAATTTATATTAATTTTCGTAAAGTTTCCTAACCTCCTTAATAATTATTATCGCACCGTTCCCAGGCACCTTAATAATTATGCGCGCTCACGTCGAAATAAAATGAAACGAATGGTTAGAACGACATTATTGATTTATATCTATTAATTTATTATTTTTATTTGAAAAATAAGCTAGAACTAACTGTTTTTCATGGCAACTATGATTTGGTAAAGCAATATAATTACCTTTTTATTAAGTTTATAATATACATGGTGTTCCATGTTCCAAGTTTGAATTTTTACTAACTTTGCGATATTTATTTTACCTACATTTTTTTGTCGATTTAAGACAAACCCTTGGACTTTTGTATTTCCTGTTTTTTGCTATCTTTTATAATAAACTGAGTAAGTGCTATCTAAATATACCGAATAACCCGGTGTACACAATGATAAAATATAAATTAGCATTTAGTTCTTTCTTTTTATCTGATATTTTTTATTGTTTTGAACGCTTAAAAAAAATAGTAAACCTCCTTTATCATAGATCACGAACTGCCACAGAGAAAAATAAAAGAACTGCAGCTTCTTACAATAGAATCTTAGTTTTAATAAAATGATTCATATTTTTTAAGGGAGTAAACACCTAAAGATTTTTTGCAACATTTTGCTTATTTTTATTTTACAAAAATTGAATTTATGTTATTCTAAAGAATAAATTAGCACTCTTTCTACCATGTGTATTTGTATTATGAATAATGTCTGATACTCCTATTATGTTTTAAATTTAAAATATCTTTTTTGTTTAGATAGAGAATGGTCAGAGGCGCGCCTATGTGACTATTCAGGTCTCTATTACTGCTCAGCTTGCCACTGGGGCAGTTTGGCAGTGGTGCCAGCCAGGGTAGTTTATAACTGGGACTTGACTCCTTACCCAGTAAGTCAAGCCAGCCTACAAGAAATTTGCTTGAGCACAAACAGACCCTTATTGAATCTAGAAAAACTGAACCCAAAATTATTTACTCTTGTAATCGAATTGAATCTTGTGAAAAGGTTAAGGGAAGAATTGGTTGGCATGAGAAAATATCTTTTGGTTTGTAGAAGCGCGTCAGAAGATCATTTATTGTGGAAACACGTAGACACTCCGCATTTAATTGACTCTGTGGAGATGTATAGTTTACAAGACCTGGTTGATACACATTCAGGAGAACTTCTTACAAAACTAAGTAATTTAATTGAAGTATTTTCAAAACATATAAAAAAAGATTGCAAAATTTGCCAAGGTAGAGGACACATTTGCGAAATTTGTCACAATGAAGAAATTTTATATCCTTTTGACGCGATTGCATATGTTTGTGATGACTGCAAAACTGTTCTACACAAACATTGTTTTTCAAGAAACAATGTTAATCTAGCTTGTCCAAAGTGTCTTAGAATTAAGTCAAGAACTTTGTTACAAGAAGGTGAACCAATTAAAAACACTCTGTGATAAGTATGTATTTTAACTGTAATGTTTTACTTGTTTAATTTATTTTATGTTCTTAATAGACAATAAATTTTAATATTTTGTAAACAAATCTTTTATTAACTTTTTACCCTTTTAAATATTTAATATAACAATAACATAATTATAACAAAGTAAATATAAACAAATGTGTTCTAGTTAAAATCATTTCTGTAATAATTATAATAAAGCTTCATTTTTTTCTGGATCATTGAAATCTGGATGATATCTTTTAACGTGAGCTTGCAAATGATGTTTGAGTGTAAATCTTTTTTCACATAAATCACATGGAAAAGGTGTTTCCCCAGAATGAACTCTTAAATGCCTTACTAAGATTCCATTTTGTGAAAATGCTTTCTCACAAACTGCACATTTATATGGCTTTATTCCATCATGCACCCATTTATGTCTTTTAAGTACATTTTTGCATTTAAACTTTTTATCGCATTTGTCACACTCAAACTTTGGTTCATCAGAATGCCTTTTAATATGGTTCTGTAAATTAATAATGGAACACAGTTTTCCACATATTGGACATGGTTCGGGAGGTTTAGGATTGTGTTTAAAATTATGACGTCTTAAACTGCTTGCATCTGCAAATGTTTTGCAGCATATGTCACACAAAAAAGGTTTTTCTTTTGTGTGGGTACGTATATGAGAATCAAGTTGGCATGATTGAAGAAATTTTCTGTCACAAAATTTGCAGGGAAATCGTTTATCATTGTTGTGTATTCGTTTGTGAATATTTAGAGCACCTGGACTCCTGTAAAATTTTTTGCAAATGTTACATTGGTATGGTTTTTCACCTGTATGTGTTCTAAAATGCAGATTCAATGCCCACTTGTAGGAAAACCCTTTACTACAAATTGTACAATTATGTGGTTTAATACCAGTATGACTGCTCATATGAGTTAGGTATTGACGTTTTTGTTTAAACTTTCTGTTGCATTCTTTGCATTTGAATGATTTTTCGTTTAAACTACTTTGTTCTTTTTTATTTTTAGGAGTGTGTTTAACTTCTGTTTTAAATATTTTTTCATATTCTGTACTTGATGTGTTACTTGCTACATCATTTTCTCCTTCACTATTTTCATATTTTACTTCAACAAGATTTCCCCACTCAATATCACCTGCACTGTCATTATCAGAATTATTAATTTCTTTCCTATTATGCATATTTTCAAACAAACTCTCCTTTAAATATTTGTCTGATGTTTGAATTGTTCCTCTTAATTCTATGGCTTGAATTAATTGTTTATTACAACTTAAACATATATATTTTGGAAATGCCGCATCAGGTTCCACCTAATAATTGAAATTTATAAATAATCATAAAAAGGATCAAATAATAAACTAACCTCTATTGATGATAAAGTAACAATTACTTGAATAACAGTTTTATCATATATTTTTGTCAATATGCTTATGGAGTCCTTTTCATGAATTGTTTTTAAACATACTCTGCAAATGCCATTCATCCTAAGATAAATTATATTATAATTCTTATAAAAATATTACAAATGTGACAGATAAACACTACATAACCTTAACTTCAAGATTACAGAACCAGTGTTGCCAGGTAGGTAAAAAATAAATCCCTATCCAGTGATGTAAAAGAGAAACTCTCTACCCTATGCTAGTTTTATAGCGCGATTTATAAACTTTCAGTTGGCGTCCTCGTTGGCGCTGGTGTAGAACACCACCAGAGATATATCTATGTCTCTGAACACCACTTATAAACTTTACTTTACTTTACTTAATTTTACTTTTTGTCAGATTTTTGAAAGTAGGGTGGTGAAAACATAGTTTTTTGATCAAATCCTTAATAATACATAAATTCCTTAATCAAGGAAAACAACTAAAATTGGTAAATCAGGCAATGTAACCGAACGGCACACCAACTATTATTACACGTTCGCAACAATAATTGAATAAAAAATCAACTAAAATTTTACAATAGTTATTTAGTTTATAACATGGATTTTTATTAAAACTTTATGTCTACCTGGTAAAAGTTTTTGTCTAGATATAACGAAAATTCCCTATAAATAAATAATTCCCTTTTTCCCTATTCTCCAAAAAAATCGGGAACAGCTCGTTGCATCGAAACTCAATAGATCGAATCTCGCCAGATCGAAAATTTACATGACCTTCGAAGCTCACCAGATCGAAAATGTGTGGCATCGTCGCACTTTAAACATCAAATTGGTAAGGTTTGGTTCACATTTTTCATTAGGAAAAAGCGATTTTTCTTAAATGCAAACAAAGTTCGATCTGGGATGCCTGTAGATGTATATACAGTATAGTAGTTTAAGCAACAAAATTTAAAAAGTTATTTATTCTTAGGTAGGTACAGTTGTATTCAATAAAAAAGCGTACAAGAATTAGAATGAGAGAAATCTGTCAAAATAATATTATTGCTTAAAACCGGCTTATCACTGACATAAGTCATTAAAATAATTAATATAGGTTATAAAGAGCATTGACGTCGTAGGTTAATTAAATAATATTACAAAAATTATTAATTATTAATATAGGTTTTTTATTTCTATTATACCACGGTACGAATTGACCATTCTTCTTCGATTCTTGATACTATTTGAGCCTTTTTAACTGACGAGGCATTTTTATTTTCTACTGTCAGTTATAGTGACTTAAGTCAGTGGAAAGCCGGTTTTACGCAATAATGTTGACAGTTTTCTCTCATTCTAATTCTTGTACGCTTTTTTAATGAATACAACTGTACTTTAAAATGGTAATTTGTACACTAAAAATTTATATGAATACTTGAAAACATTGACAAGTGATATATTTTTATTTTATGGTTGTAAGGAGTGATTTTGACATGTAAGTTTAAAAATATTTTTTATAATAAAATTAATTTTTTTTTTGTAGAATTCCATTTACCTATTCAAAGTTGAAAGTAGAAACAGTTGGTCAATTTAGGATAGATTTGTAGCACTAATACATGTCAGCATCGCCAACCAGTCCTTTAAACATTTTAAATTTTGAAATAATAGAATTAATATCTTAGATGACCTTTTTATGTATAATTTGATGAGTATGCACTTAATATCTATTTTAAATGTGTTTTACTAAATATTGTATGTTTTCAGTACCTCCTGAGGATGCCGAAAGGTGAAAGTAGTCAAGATAATTAAAAAATAAAAATATCCATGATGCGAAATTGTCACCGACACTGAGTTAGAGAAAGGAGAGAAACATACAAGATCTTTTATGTATCCTTCGAAGGATACTATGTGACAAGGGGTGAAACAGAATTGGCAAAACTGAAAACATGACTCCTAATCGATGAGTTGCCAGTTGGTACAAAATTATGCAACCAACCACACATGCACGTATGCTTTGTTGCTTGATTCTTCCAAAACTCGGCCATGGTGAAAAAAAGTCGGACATCATGTTTTGTGTGCCATTGGGTCCTGTTTGCTTATAACTTATAACTTATAAGTTATAAGAACTTCTTAAGAAGGCTATTTAACTGTGTACAGTTTAAAACGTAAGTATTTTGTTTAATTGTCAGCTTTTTAGCAAACCTTGGTTTTCTATTACTGAAGTCCAGTTGGTTCATAAAAAAGAATAATTCGGTTATTAACTTGTGGCAATACAAATAAAGCAATATTATAAACTTCTCAGTGTTCTAAAATATATTAGTAAAAAATATAATCAATACTTTACAAACAAAATTATTTGGAAAGAAAAAATATTAGAAGCAGTTTAAATTGTTAATAACAACAATTTGTTATGTTTTATTTTAAATGTTAAATCTTATAGGTTTGTTACCTTATTTTTTAACCAAAGTTTACTAATTATTATTATAGTCACTGCAATAATATTGTAACATAATTATTAATAGCCACATAAAATTTTTTGAATAATGTGTACATTTAAATACATCCATTTAGATACATAAATGAGAAAAATGCATCCAAAAAGAATTTAACAGTGGAACATTTTAAAAAATTTCAAAAAAGGTAGAATTTTTTAAATTTAAATTTCATCAGTGTTAATGTCTGTTATATTATTGTTTTACTAAAAATTGCCCAATATATTTTTGCTTTAAATTTTATGTTAATTAAATTTTTAATTTTTAAAAGGAGTTGGAATATGGAAGCCATGGGACACCAACCTGAGAATATAAACTGAATGCAATTAAAGTTGGAATATGAAATGTATAGGTATAACACTACCCTAAGAACATAAACCTTAATTATATAAATGCAACACAACCCCCAAGTTTGAATAAGGAATCCATTGTACACCAACTGGCAGACATAAACCCTACTTAAGTAGGCTACATAATATGTATCCATATTATGTATATTATGTGCCACTATCCTAAGAACATAAACCAAAATATGTCAAAAATTTTGTACTGCATTTTTTAATATCTTCAAGTTAAAGGATAACATAAAAGTTAAATGATATGCATATTCTTATTTTTGTAAGGAAATAATAAATCATTACCTATATTAAAATTTTTTTTTTTTAAATACTAAACAATTAGGTACCTACCTATATTTTATTATTAATTTATTTTTGTAAAAGTAACTTTTTATTATTAAATTTGCTTTTAATACTCTTTTTTTGTAAGTTATAGAGTTTTTTAAGACTGATGGACTTTTTTGTAGGTAATGCAGTTATTATATCTCTAGATGAAAGTCCAAAATTTTAAATATAATCAATCAAAATTTAAACAAGTTTTCAATATATTAAATACCTTTTTTTGAATCCTATAATATTGTACAAGTATAAATTAAAAAGTTTATTTTAAGAGAATTATATAATATTTTTAAACTAATTTATATATAAATTAGTTTTAAAATATGAATTATTAATATATTAAAAACTGGTTTAAATTTTGATTGGTCATATTTAAAATTTTGGACTTAACGTACTTTGGCTCTGAGTTATAGAATCTCCCAGGTAGCACAACGTGACATTAAAAATTAGAAGTGACGAAAACGAGACAATATTTCGTTACGATTAAGGAAATTTTAATAAAAAGTAAATAAATTGCGTGACGCCAAATTCGTGACGAGGGGTCTATGAAAATACGTGACGAATTTTTTCATAAAGTCGTTAGTCACACGAAATAGTGATAATTTTACTTTAAATTTTGGTATAAAATTCTTGACGTGCAGCTCGTTACAAAAACGTTACAAAATATTTATACAAATCGTCACGAAAACATCACGTAAAGTCGTGACACCAATGCGCAGTCGCCAATAGTCATATGTTCTGTGCATCTCCATCATCATCAGAGATAAAGTAGGATCTCCATTTTGAATGTTTGGTAACGACCCAAGCCATTGGTTTCTGTAGGTTTTTCTATATTTCTGCAAAGTTTTTAATGGTAAACAAAAGGATAGTTTAAAACCGTAAGTACTTTTGTTTTTCTATATTTCAGTAGCTTAAGACAATTGTCTGCAATGCTAAACAACTCCACACTCTAATCTAAGAAATGTTTTGCTGTAGCAACAAAATATAAGTAACCACAACATTTTTAGTGTGTTAATATATCCTTAACAAATTTATTATTATAGCTTAAGTATTTTGTTGAATTTCTACTGAAAGAGGAAAAAATACATTTTTTTGTACGTGAAATAAATTTTAACAAAGCCATGGAGAAAACTGCTTATTTCTTATGATCATTTTGCAGGTCAATTGAAATTAAAAAATTGGTAACCAACATAACATAGACTGTTTTACAGTCGACACTCTGGACACACTCCACACAACTGGATATATCCTATAGGGACGAACGAAAACTTTAGACTAAAAGACATATTGATGGCAAACACAATTGTCTTGGGTTGTCTCGGGGGAAAGAAATATTACAAAGGATGCATCGTCATGAAGTTGAAAAGCACATTATGTATGCCTTCCAGCATACATATGATAAGATGAAATCACAGGTTCGTACTTCAGCTGAACCCTAGTGTTATTTAAGTAAGTTTATTATAAATAAATGTTTATTATAAATAAATGTTGCAGTTAAACTGCAGAAATAAAATAAAAATTTTATACTAGATGAATTATTAATTGACTTCATTCATTTCATTTTTTAATTTATAAGAGAAATAGATCTATTACTCGAGTATACTTGTTTATTTTGTTATACTGTTTTTTATATTAGGTATATTCTAATAAAATAGTGTTTTATTCTACAGGAGAATTATATTTTTGTGTACTGTTTTATCCTTAAAATAGAAAAATAATTTAATTTTTTTTTCAAAGATATGAAATTTGAAAACTAATTGCAATTATTGCTGGTTTTCAAAAGTGGAGGTATTTTTATTTTATAAGAGGAATATTTTTTTATTTTGTTAGTGTTTTTCTATATATATATATACATATAATATATATTATTATAGTTTATTGTAGAATATGTTTTTATTGTTTTTCTAATAAAATATAATTCAGTTAAATGTGCTTTCTTTGCATTAACATTGCAAAACTAAACAATCCTAACAACAATATGTTATTATTTGGGGATGTAATAATATTGTGTAGAGTAATGCAGTGCAGTGCGGTATAGTGGGTTGTTTTGTGTATTGTGGAATTATTGCTTACCTTCAAAGTTTTGTAATTTGATTTCAACCTGATGATGAGGTTGAAATCAAATTACAAAACTTTGAAGGTAAGCAATAATTCCACAATACACAAAACAACCCACTATACCGTACTGCACTGCATTACACTGCACAATATTATTACACCCCCAAATAATGCAACTATACGCCACAATTACGTGACCAGTTCAGTTCACTATTCGGTAACGAAGCGTCGTGACGAAACCGTGACAAATCATCGTGAAGAATCCGTGGCGTATTCTTAACTAAATCGTGAAGATTTTTATTCATATTAATGTAACGTATTCGTCACAAAAACTATGCTTAAATTTAGCGCGGTTTGGCAACTGTTTTTAATTAAATACGTTACGATTTTTAAATAACGTCCAAGTCACGACTGACTGAAAACGTTTCGTTTACGTCAAGATTTCGTTACGTTGTGCTACCTGGGCTATACTATAGATACACTGAGAAAAAAATGGGACAAATAAACTGTGTAGCTAATACTTTTATTAATAGTGAATATATTGTGTATTACCTCTAAATAGTCGAAATAATAACGATAAATATACTTTAGTAAAACTTTATGTGTCGGGAATAAAAATATATTTAGGATAAATAAACTGCCCAGACTGCAATGAAGGTTCGAAAATATTCCAGGAATATTCCGTATCGCCTAGGAATATTCCGCCTCATTCTAGGAATATTCATTGGGAATATTCCTAGAATGATCCTCTAAAACTTCCAAGCATCATCTAAGAATATTCCCAGTGAATATTCATTAGTTTAGTTGCAATACCTCTCACCGTTGCTTACGCACGCTTGATAACTATATATACCGATAGGTTAATAATATTAGTTGGAGATGTGCGTCTGTGATGGCACAGCCAAACAATGATTAGAGTGGGACTGACCTACTCAGTAACTCAATAATGGCTATACTTAAGTTAAGTTCCTGGGTATAAGAGGCAATATGGGCTGGGATTAATCCCCAAATTATATCAAGGAATATTCCCCTAATAATCCTTGAGTCTTCTGCAGGCAGATATATGGAATATTCTTTTTATGATGCCTGGGTTAATCAAAAAGCGGACATTTGATTATGCCAGGAATATTCCTGGGAATATTCTGGGACGATTGGAATATTCCTGGGAATATTCCTGGCATGTGCAGGGAATGTGATTTTGCGGTCTGGGTGTATCCTTGTCCCATATTTAAATATTCTTTTTATTTGGGAGCAATAAACTTTTTTCTCAGTGTAGATATGTAGATAGAGTTAATTTTTTATTTAGTTAGACTCAAGTGATTTTATTAAGTTTTTAGTTAAGGCCAGTTTGTAATTAATTTACTCCAATACACTTTAAAGTGTAAGTAACAATTGTTAACTTCTTTTTAAAGAACATCTTATGTAGTGTTCTGTTAATAATATTATTATGCTAAGATAGTATTGTTAACAAACCCCTAATATTGTTAAACCTGTTAAATTCTTAAAAAGATCTTAAATATATTCATAGAAAATTAATGTAATTTCGTATTTTATTAAGCACTATGAAATTGTGTACACCTTTCCTTGTAGAATCAGGTAATGAAGTGATAAGGATAGCAATAGTATTACTATAATCAATGATATACCGTCAACTGGGGCTACATTGATAATTGCGGGGCAACTTTGATTACACATGTCAGAACTTTTATTTTTTTGAATTACTGCGCTAGAAAAAAAATTTTGGCGCGCTTTAACTCATCATGTGTTTTTCAGTTGTCACACGTTAACGAGGGTGTAAACATCGTGATGAGTTTTGCCGCGGTTGTCGTATTTATTATTATTACATTGTAGTATACTACAATGTAATAAAGTTTACTTTTTGGTTTGTAATACAAGTATAATACAAACTTTGTATATTTTATAAAGCTTCAGAAATTTCTAAAATACAGCATGATAAATAAAAGCCTATTTATTTCTTAATTTCTGGTTGTTTTTTTACGCAAATATGTTATTTTTAAAGTAAATAGTTAAAAAAATTTATATTTTTTAATTTATATTATAATTGAACGGGGTTTCATTAGTTATAAGAGCAAAATTAAGGCATGATCAAAGTTGCCCCAAATGAAGTAAAACTTTGATCGGGGCCATCTTTTTTGTTTTTTTAATTTTTCTTAAAATTTAGTGAATGTCTAATAAGGTTTTAGATTAATCATATAACTGCAGTTATATGATTAATCTAAAACCTTCACAGCAAACGAAAAATTATAGAAGTGTATAGGATGACTCCGCGTTTGAATATCAAATCTTAAAGTTTTATCATAACTGTATTGAATCGTGCTTTGTTTTTATATTTTTCGGCTCTATACCTATGCACGACTATATTTAAAGTCAAACTCAATGGTGTCTTACAAGATACATTATTTTGATTTTCTATATTCAACAGAGGAGTACTTTCTATATTCAACACCCAGCTGACATGCCCACGTCATATAGACGTCGATTTAAAGTAATTATTGGTCATCGACGTCGACGACCTTTTATCGACGTCTCTAAAACGTCGTATTTGAGACGAACTATAGACGTCACTAAGAGAGCGTCGATGTGACGTACCTTTGAGGTCTGTATTTACATGTTTTAAAAAGTCTCTAAGAAAACGTCAATGTGACGTAGGTACTATGGTATACTAAAGACTATAATTAGAGGTCTTTCAATTATGACATAATCGCACGTTAAATGCTTCAATATTCAAATCTTTTTATATCATGTAAACTTTTAATTTATTTGGGATCGGCAGTTAATCAAGTTTTGTAATTATTATTTTATAATTTTTCAATGCGCAAATTAAGATAATTAATATAGCAAAACTTAATTATGCTTTATCAAAATATTAGTACGTTTCAGGATTTCTGCACACAAATTTAAATATGCCGCGCCGTCGTGGTATTGGTCGTCTCGCGGAAAAACTCTTTCCAATGGCGAGTCGGTAACGCCAAACCACGCCACCGCCATTTTTAACATAGGTGCTTGTGTTCTGTGCAACTGGTGATTCAACAGGTTATCTTTTATTTATAGTGTTTCCTAAAAAGCTAGTGTTTATAGTTTTGAATTTTGTTCTATGGGTAAGTGCATAGATAATAAATCAATATTTATACGTACTATGACAGTTATAAAACAATTTGTAAATGCCGGTTAGATGCTAACCTCCTAGGGCTTACCTTATGGAACGCCATTATAGTATTTAATCGCGAATTAAAAATATTATTCTTGAATTTACCTTTAATTTGCTGTATCACGCAAATTAAAAATATAACCTGTAACAGCTATCATTTACAAAAAATATTGTTTTTTTGTACGCTATATTTATATTTATTTATTGAAATTGTTTTATTCATGTAGCTTGATGGCTTTCATAGGAGTCGAATTTACCAAGGAAGAAGATGGGGGCGGTTTAGGCATTGTTCATTACAAATGGCTAACACCAAGAAAATCAGAGTGTTTTTGGCCGCCTTTTAAAACCCAAACTAAGTACGAAAAAGTTTTAAAACAGGGCACATCTCCGGATGAACAGCAGTGGAAATTATACAAGGTGCACAGAGTTTTTTTTGAATGTGGTAAGTACTTGAATTTAAATTCTAAGTCAACATTGCTAAATTGTTGTTTATGCAGATGATTTAGATAAAGCACGAGAGAAACTAAAAAAGGCAGAAGTTACCTCTGACTTGCAGAGTGACAACGATATCGAAGAGGTAGTTGAGAGGGGAAAAAGAAAATGTTTTGCCCCAAGAAGGCTATATGATAGTGGACCTGACAGCAGTGATACTGAAGAAAGTGTATTGCCAAGTCCTCCACCTGTTATTGTTCCAAAGCGTAAAAGAACTACTTCCTCATTAATTGGTATGTAAATGTGAAAGTTTTTTAATAAGGTTTAATATTTATGTTTATTTTCAGATAGGATTTTTGATAGAAAAACTCCACCACCCAGTTCCCCACAATTGTCTTCAGCAGAAACAATTTCAGTTCAATCAGTCTCTAGCAATGCTTCATCATCTCAGCTGTTTGGATCGACGTCAAGTAAGGACAGCAACCCTTTAGGTAATTACTATAAAATAGTATTATTTTAATACAGATTTGTGTAGATTTATTATACGTTTTTCTTCATAGGTCTAGAACTTGGTCTTTTAAGAACTGTCAATTACATTAAAGAACAGAATACAGAAATATTAGGAATTTTAAAAAAAACTCCTGTTCCGTCGCCGTCGTCGACCTTTAGTTTGAGTGGTCTACCCACAGAATTGCCTGCAGTATCTGAAGAAAATTTGAAAAGCCTTGAAAAATTCTTGGAGACGGAGGATAATCTAAATAATTTTGTAATAATGCTTCACTGTAAGGAAAACATTTATCTTATGTTGTTATTTCAGATGATTTTTTTGACCTCACTTGGAGGTAAAGACGTAGTGAGTCAAACCAATAACTGTCTTCGTCGTGTGCTTAGCAACAAACTAGCGTGCAGCTACAGCTTTTTTGGAAAACGTGGAGAAAAGAAACCATTCAGCTCTTTAAAATTCAAAAAGTGTTTAGTTGGTAAGCAAAATTTTTTTCTATTATAAAAGTATACTTTTTGGAATTTTATTTTTTTAATGGTTTTAACTTTGTTTGAACTGTTTTGACTTCAACATAATATTATAAAATGCGCAATTAACAATTTTATCACTATAAAAAATACTGAAAATTATAAAAATATTTCATTCATCTTGAAAGTTTGTAGATATTTCTATACATCTATCTAAATTTGTTTAGTATGTTAAAATATAAAGTTAAATAATCAAGGAGAAAAACTAGAATTAAATAATAATTGTTAAAAACTGAATTTTCTTACCTTTGAAACTATAATTTTTGTTACAGCTGCAATATTAAAAAATATTCCACACTCCAAAGAAAAAGAAGTAGAAGATTCAATAAAAAATTGGCTCAAGCATTCACCGCAGCGGTACCGCAACGAGTGTTTGAAGCTAGATAAATATAATTAAAATGAAAAATAAACCAGTGGGCAAACGCCAAATGTATCGGCGTATAAAAAGAGCTGTGGAGAATACGGTAAGTGACATTAGACGCACCCATTTTTTACAGAATTCCTTATCAAATTCATGCAATACAAGCAAAGTTGAAAGTCAAATTAAAAATTTAAATTTAATAGTTCAAGAAGTGAATCCATTGTGTGAGGTTATAAACATTGTAGAGCCTGATAATATTTTGTCATTAGATGAGGCAGATGGAAGTGCTGATTACGACTCATTTGATAATTCTGTTAGCCTCGAAAATACTACCAGTACTAATACAGCAGTTACGGTTTCGATTAAAGACGTGACCGCTCTCCCAGATAGCTTAAAATATTGGGCAAACGAAAACAAAATCCCTAGGGTAGCATTGAGCAAACTTTTACGAATTTTACAGCCTTACCATTCTGATATACCAAAGGATTACAGAACATTATTAAAAACCCCTGGCCATATAAATACAAAATTATTACAAACTGGCGAATACATTCATTATGGGTTGGAAAATGCCTTAAAAAAATTTCTTTTACATACAAAGTACAAATCATTTTCTTTCAAAATTGCCTTCAATATAGACGGAATTCCATTATTTAAAAGTACAAAAACCAGTTTATGGCCAATATTAGGTTTAATAAAAAATGCAAATAACAGCACACCTTTTGCAATTGGTATTTTCTGTGGTTCATCAAAACCTTCACCGTTAAATGATTATCTTCAAGAGTTTTTGAAAGAATTAATTCACTTAATGAAAAATGGTCTTCAATATAACAATAAAAATTATTCAGTACAAATACATAGTTTTATATGTGATGCTCCGGCGCGAGCTTTTATAAAATGCGTTAAAAATCACGGAGGTTACTCCTGTTGTGAAAAATGTACCGTAAAAGGGCAAAGATATATGGGAAGAGTAATTTACAAGGATTTATCAGCTTCTAAACGAACTGACCAATCTTTCTTGCGTCGAATAGATAAGGAGCACCACTTGGGGAGATCGCCATTAGTTAAACTTAATATTGGTTTAGTTACAGTTTTTCCAATCGATTACATGCATAATCTATGTCTTGGGGTAATGAAAAAGCTTTTGAACGCTTGGGTGGATGGGTCGCGTCCAACTAAATTTTCTAAGCAGTCGGTAGAGGAAATATCAACCTACTTAGTATCTTTACAAAAACATATTCCTATGGAGTTTAATCGGAAACCCCGTACTTTAGCAGATATTGCTCGCTTTAAAGCGACGGAATTCCGCATGTTTTTGCTATACTTAGGTCCTTTAGCTTTGAAAGATGTTGATAAAGCAATATATCAAAATTTTCTACTGCTGCATTCTGCTGTTACAATATTGATTTCGTCTAAACATATAAGTAATTTAGGTACCCAGTTAGCTCATAGTTTTTTAACGACTTTTGTAAAACATTGCCAGCGCCTGTATGGACCGCAGTTTGTAATTTACAACGTACACCTTCTGGTTCATTTAAAAGATGATGTTGATAAGTACGGTCCATTAGACAGTTTCTCAGCATTTCCCTTTGAGAATTTTCTAGGCCAATTGAAAAAGTTGGTAAAATCTTCAAAGCTTCCGTTGCAGCAAATAAGTAGACGATTACTAGAAACCGATAACTGTTTTATTAGTACCCCCGACGTTTATTTGGATCTTTTAAAATGCGATCTTGAACACACTTATGGCCCTTTGAGTACCAACGATTATCATAACGTTAAACAATATAAAAAAGTGTCATTTCAACATATTACTGTAACAACTATTTTTTATTCTCAAGCTGATTGTTACTGCATGATTGATGACAAAATAATTGAAATTCATAACATCTTAAAAAGGGATGATGGGTCTGTTTTTATTCTGGGAAAAGTGTTTTCTACTTTAAAACCTTTATTTTTATATCCGTTTAATTCACTTCAATTGCATATAGCTGTAATAGACGATTTATGCAAAGAATTTTGTTTATGTGACCCCTGTAAATTACAATGTAAATGCATAGTCCTTCCTTTAAAAAATGGGTCCGGTCGTTGTGCTTTACCAATATTACATTCACTTGAAAAGAGTACCTAAGCTCCACAGCTCATGGATTACGTGCAAAATAGTACCAAATAATGTTTTATTTTTTATTTTAAATGAATGTGTGTGTATTACTGTGTAAATGCTATTTAAAAGAATGGTTATTTTTTATGATTTTTTTAAAAGTGTATTTTGTTTTTTAATAAAAATATTTTATGTCGATTAATCGTTTTTTTTTTGTTTCTAAATAACGTCATAAACACGTCATAAACTAGAAAATATATACGTAGTTTTACGTTATAATATGACGTTATTCGACGTCCCCTACTAGACGTCTATGGGCTGTGACATTTTCACGTCCTTTTTTCGTAATTTATACGTCACTGACAAAGTTGAATCGACGTAACTGGTGACCAATAATTGACGTTATAATTACGTGATGCTGTCAGCTGGGCAGAGGAGTACTCTACGTAGAAACTCGACCCTGTCGAATGGTGCAGTCATATATGTCTCTAGAAATTATTAAAAAAGGGTTCAGTCCAATGGTGCAGCAACTTCGGATTCCTATTCTCCTCAGAGACATAGAAACTCAAGCTTTTCGAATTTTACTGGCAATGATTTTCGTTAATGTCCCCGAGAATTATACAAAAACAGCGCAATGCAATATCGCAACGGTTTCGACTTCTCTTTACTCTACCAAGTTATAGAAACTGGAGTCTCTCCAATACTGTTCTAGTCAATATTTCTGAGAGTATAAAAAGAGGGTGTAATATTGCAAGAAGTTTTGATCTTTTGATGGATGAATTTTCTCATTTCTCCATATGATTTTGTTGAAAATAGTTCCTTTCTTTGGTTCCTTTGTCTGATTTTTATTTACCGTAACAACTCAGGTATGTAAAGCACAGAGGATATGATGTTAAGTATATTTATGTATTATATAAAGTACCTATATTTGTATTAAAAATTTAAGAGGTTATGTTGAAAAATGATCGATATGCTATTAAACTTTAATAATTTAGTAATTAGGTCTGTTGGTAGACCCTGCACTATCTCCACTGGTATATGTTAATTTTGTAATATTTAAATCTGGTTGATGAAAAAGTACACACCAGTGCAGGTTATTGTAGCATCTACGAACAAATGAATTAATGGCCCATTGGCAATTATTCCTTTAGGAAAAATATTCAACACAGCTTAATTAATTAATAAAATGAAAAAAATCACAATCATGTCGTATATAGTTTTTTTTAAGCATAAAATAATTTTTATATTAATACTAGTTCAAAAGTGAAATTACGACCTCTATACTGTGGAGAGTAATGAAACGCTCGACTGACGAATACAACTCTATACCGTAGGGAGATTTAGAAATCGATATTCAAACGTGGCGTCATCCTATACACCTCTATAATTTTCCGTTTGCTGTGTTATTAGACATTCACTAAATTTTAAGCCTTTATGCCTAATATTTCCCTTTTTTTGTTTTCAAATATCTCAACTAGTTAGTTAACTATAGTATAGTTAACTATAGTATACTATCAAAAATTAAAATTATATTGATCAAAGAAGCCCCAGTTGACGGTAATATTGTTATTATTACTTATGCTTGGTATTAATAATTTTTAAATTACTGTTTTTACCTCGGTTTTTTACTATTATTTAGTCGTTATGTGACTAAATAATTTTTATTTTTCATTTATGTTCTATACCACTTTTATTGGAAGTATCAACATTTTTATTTTTGTAAATATATGTAAATATTTTTTTAAATTTGTGTTTTTTTTTAGAAAATTAAAAAATAATGAAATACCTAAATAGAAATTTAAAAGCCGGTCCTGCTATGTCCATCAACCAGCAGGAGTTTCTCTAGGGGCCATCATTCATCCCCCCTTGGACCAAGGGGGGATGAGGGCCTTGGTAAGATTTATCTCGACCCTCTCCCTAATCTCAAGTGAGATTTTTCAAATTGCGTATTTTTAGAATAAATACGTTAATCTGGGCTTGATTGATGTTTTTTACACTGTTTATCCTCTGTGGTGTTTCTCGAGGGAAAAAAATTTTAGCCCCCCTCCCCCGAGATAAGGGTATGGAGAGATTTTGAGAACCCCCCCTCCCACATCGGGACCCTTACGTAATTAATGAATTGCCCCTTACACGTAACTCACAATATGAGTAAGTATATTAATATTTATTTATAAAACCATGCATATGAGTATATTAATATTTATTTATAAAACCATGCATTTTCCATGATTTATTTGCAAGGAATGTATGGTTATTCCCCTTATACATTGACAACACTTTCCAAAATTTATTCCAATAATTATTATTTTATATATGAATTTTCCGATATTAAAAAAAAATCTGAGAAGGGGATTTTATATTTATCTGTACTTTTGTTTGATAAATATCATTGCATACCTATCTGCAGCGTTGCCGCACTGAAATTATCAATTACCCACGCCACTATGACAGAATACCCGGTTTTACCCCCACTTTAACATGAAAATCCCCATAAAATTACCCGTCCGAGTGGCTTGTTTTTAAAAAAAAGAGGTCAAATTTTTATTAATAGTAAATAGGTAGGTATTAGCCTAATACCCTAGTAGCAATGGAATTGGACAAGATTCTTTGTCAAGATACTTGATCAAAATTCTTTATCCAAGACTGGTGGCAGACTTGGACAAGTCTGTAACCAGAATTTGACCAGATTCTTGGCCAAGAATTTTTACACGATTACACGTTAAATAGGAACTTTTAATTCAAGATTTTTGGTCAATACAAAATTTATGTTACTAAAAACATTAATTTTCCACGATTTCTTTCCAGTAAATTCGGTTTTTATCCATAAATCTGGTAAACAATAGAATTAAAAACGAAAAAAATTTTGAAAGAGTTAAAGCTTTTAATTTTCTATGTTAAAAAAACCAGGTGCCCGTAAAAATAAACAGGTATTTTATAATCTTTCATGTTCATAAAGAGTAAACTCTAGTTATGAGTCAGAGCTGACACACACTAGTGTGCTTTTTTTTTAAATTTTTGATTAATAGAAATAACAATTTTTATTTTTCAAAAAATCAATTTTTTTTTCAGCTAGAAGACGAATCCAATAAGCTCTTATTCGTATTATCACATAAACAAAAAAACTATACTCATTTCCTACAGAGAACTCACTTCTCGACTAGTATACACTAGTATACTCTATGTGTGAATGATACTACTGTAGAATGAGAACTTCTACTCTATATGATAGTCCCAAAGTTTAGCAATAGATGGCCTCAGATTTCTGGTCAAATTCTTGTCAAATTCTGGCCACAGTCTGGCTCAAGTCTTGCCCAATAATCTTGGCCAAGAATCTGGAACAATTCTTGTACAATTCTTGAGCAAAAATCTGTCCAAAGTATCTTGACCCATGCTGGGCCAAGACTTTTCCGGAATTTCTACTAGGGTACTATTAGGTAGGAACTTTATTAATACATAGATATGCTTCTTTTATTAATAAATAGTAGATGAACCTCCTCTCAGAGATTAAGTACTTTATTTTTTCCGTAAATTAGAATTTAACATTTTGTTTGATGGTTTAAATCTGACAGGACCTCCTGCCTCTTGGACCCCCTCTTTTGTGTGTAATAATGCGGCGATTGTGTAGGTGTTCAGTCTGTTTCTGTTATAAATAAAATACCCGTTGTCTGTCAAATTAACGTCAAGGACATGCGCAATATAAAATAAAGACGTATAGCGCCATCTATTAGGTAACTGTATAATCCCAGTCAACAAAATGGTCAAAATGAACTTTGACATTTTCATTTTCGCAGAAATAGCGTAGGTCGAATGGTTGAATTTTAATTTTAAAGTTTTATTTTTTGCTGTTGGTTCTACAATTTTTATTTTTGCAAATTTGGGTCAAAGGGTTAAAATCCCCGGTTTTACCCGTTTAATTATTTTACCCGGCACATACACCAAAATACCCGAATTTTGGGTAAAATACCCGGCAACGGCAACGCTAGGCTATCTGCCAGATTCTGGTTCAGATGTATACTACTTTTCTTTGACCGAAATCTTGTTTGAACGAAAGTAGGTAGATCTCATTTAAGAAAATACGTTTTTTGTAGAAAACATGTGAACAAAGCCTTAAGCCTTTGACGTTTCAAAAGAGACGTTGCCACACATTTTCGATCTGGTGAGCTTCGAAGGTCATGTAAATTTTCGATCTGGCGAGATTCGATCTATTGAGTTTCGATGCATCGAGGCGTACCCAAAAAATCTCCATAAATAGGGAAAAATTCCCTAATCTGGCAACACTGTAACAGAACTTAAGATCAAACGAACCATTGTTGCCGTAGTTCTGAAAGAACAAGCATGTTTGTACAAATAAGTTTGTTCCAACCGCCACATATGTGGCGTTATAGTTCGTTTTTTACAGTACCTACGTAATTATAGACATTTATAGGAAAATTAAATTATTTTATCGGCTTTTGTTAAAGAAAGTGTTGTGCTGATCCTGTACAATAATGGTTGAGTGGGTTGTGGTGTCAAGTTGCCACTGACAATCACGTGATTGCACAATGATTGTACAATCCACCCAACAAGCCACAGTTTTCTGTGCAACAAGCCTTTTTAAACTAGCAAAACACTTGCGGGTGGTTAAGCCTGATTTATAGATTTCCTTTTTTCCTCACGTAAGATGAACAATACGCTTAAGCACAATGTGTGGATTGTGCTCTTAAGAATATAATCTTCTTAAATACGCTAAAGAAACATATGTGATATCACTAGTAGCGCCACCACTCGGCTGTTATCATCGTAACAAAAGTACAACTTTTGATAACAGCTGTAGGTAAATTTTTAACTTTTGAAATATCACATGTGATAGCTGATAGCTGCAGCTAAACGCTCGGACACGTAAACATAATTTTGATCGTAGATTCCAAATCCGTGCTCAATTTAGCTGCATCAGGTCCAAAAAAGTTTTTCCTATTGGAAATCCGATCCGGGGACACACTATATACTGGTATATTATAATTTGTAAAATAATATAATTCACCTCTTGTGCCAACAGTTTTATGCTTTTTATTTCATTTAATATAATATCCTCAATTATACTCAATAAACAAAAAATCAGCAAAAAACATTTCAAATTTCCTAAATTATCTAAGAAAAACCCTTAGGGACACGTGTATCTTTTGATCAATTAATTAATTAATTATTTTAATTTGGAACTGATGTGTGGGTCGCGACAAATTTAATTAAAAAAAAAATAATTATACAGGGTGTTTCCAATATCTTTTGACCTTATACAGCTAAACCAAGAACGGATTTGTAATCTACGACCAAAAATTAAGTTTACGTGTCCGAGCGTTTAGCTGTGATATTTTCACCTCCCTACACTGTAGGTATACAGTGTAATCAGCTGGCAAACGCGTGTGTTACAAACTAGTGTTTTTGAGAATAAAGCCGGAAAATGTTAAAAAATATCGGAAAAAAACCGTGGCACGATTACCCAACACAGGGTGTATTTCGAGAGGAAATCCTGGGTTGAGTTTTTACCGGTTTTCCAATAAACAGTGTTAATCCGAATGAAGAAATAAATTTCATCATAAAAAATACTTTTTTATGGCAGATTTATCCTAATAATATCCTCTTTAAAACACTTTGGTATAGATTTAATGCTTTATAAAACCTATTAAACGTTTTTGGTATAAAATGGAGATATTCGATCAGGATAACATTGAAATTTTTAATGCATATTAGCTTTGAAAACAGGTGTTTTAAAACAATTTGGCTTAAATATTTTCTTCCATAAAACAAGTTATGCTTAAAACTTACAAAAAATTTTGTGTCGGCCGGTTTTGTTTTTCCAAAAATGCAGTTCAAAATTGTTCAAACAATTATGGCGTTTTAGTCACGGGCTAAAGTAAGAAAATAGTAGCTTTTGAGCATTTTAGTCACGGGCTGAAGTTAGCTTTTTTATAAATTACGGAAAAGCGAGGTTAAATCCGTTAAAAGATGACGGATGCTATGATCATGCATGTAATTCCGCCATTGATCAGGAATGGATTGCTCGCTCAAACACTTATATTAAATAAGATAATAAATGCCTTTTTGGAGAAGTTTTTAACAATTAGATAGAAGATCTCATCAATTCCAGTAGCAGAGTTCTTTTTGTGCTTTTAGTTCGACCGTGTTTATTGGTGGTATGTCTCTGTCAGCCGACACCAGCCGCATGTTTGGGTCCAAGTTACTGATATCTAGTTTGTCTAAAATAAGTGGGGCAATTAATTGTTTTGTCAGGAAGTAGTGATTTATGTGATCTAGAATTATTATTTGAGATTTATTTTTATTTTATTCCATATGTAAGTCATACTGGATTCTCTGTTTAAAGATTCGCAGAAAATTTTGATTTTTTTTAGTATTTTTTTAGTAATGGTTATTTGTTTTTAGGTGTTTATATAGTTCTCAAGACTTGGCTCTTCATTGAATTTTTTTAAAGCTTTTTTCCTATCTTCTTCCTAGCTAGCCAAACTAACCTATTTCCAAAATTATGACAATGACCACTATATGAAAAATTGGACTAAAATTTCTTTTTGTAGGTTCATTGACAATAAAATTAAAATATTAAATATACTAAATTAACTATTAATTCTGTTATTTATTAAATAAAATAAATTAAAACAAAATGCTTGTTTGTCTGATCAAAAATACCACCAACTTAAAAATAAAAATCAGTAAGTTTTAATCCGTAACAAACTCATAATTAAAAAAAAAAATTCAAACAAGGTTTTTTCTTACTTTTTTACTATTTTAAAGGTACTCCCAAAAATTCATATTTGTACATTAATTTTTAACCTGGGCCCGACCACTGATAATAGATCAAATACTAAAAAAGTGAAAAAAGTCATACGAGGTTTATTCTTACTTTTTTATACTTCTTAATGTACTAAAGTTTTAGATTTTTAAATTCATTTTTAACCTGCGCCCCGACAACTTTTAAAAAAATTAGAACAAAACCTATAAAAGTGGGAAAAACTCATAATTTAAAAAAAATTCAAACGAGGTTTTTTCCTACTTTTTTACTTTCCTGAAGGTACTCCCAAAAATTTAGATTTGTAAATTAATTTTTAGCCTGAGCACCAACCACTTTTTAAAAAATAAAAGAATTAATCCTAAAAAAGTGAGAAAAAGTCATAATTTTTTAGTTTTTTTTCAAACAAGGTTTGTTCTTACTTTTTTTCTATTCTAAATGTACTTCCAAAGTTTTAGATTTTTAAATTAATTTTTAACCTGAGCCACGACCACTTAAAAAAATTGCTAATAATGTCAATAATAAAAAGATTACTATAAACCAGGACCAAATCTGCAAAACCAATTAAAACCAGGACACATTACCAAAAACCAGAACCTGTTCTGGGTAAACCAGGATGGTTGGTCACCTTAAACTAGATACAGATACACATGTATTTGTCTTACATATTTTACTGCAGTACCTAGTTACAGATACAGTTACCTTAAACAAGTAGATACTTTTAGATACAAATTATTTTTTGCTTTCTTACATGAAGAAAATAAAACAATAACCATTAATGCGCAAAACAGTAATCCACTCAATAAACTAATGGAAATAATATTTAATAAAAATAACTATTGCTGTTGTCAAAGTAACCCGTGAGGTTTTATAAGAAATTGTTTGATTTTAAATAGTACTTTGACGTTGACATTGTTTATTGAGTGGATAAGTGTTCTGCACATCAATGGGTAGGGTTTTATTTTCTCCGTGTAGGGAAGCTTTTATGATGGAAGTTTCAACTAAAATTTTAAAATAGAAATAAAAGGGAGAGACGAATAACATAAATGAGGTCATACAACATGTTTAGTAGGTTTGGTAGATTTCTTCACTCAATGGCAGTAGATTTGTTAAAAAATATATTTACACTGTTGGATGTGTTTAGAAATTGAAAATTGCGTTTTAATAAATATTGGTAGATATTCAATTTGATAATGTAACCAGTTACTTGTAACTAAATACGTCACAACACTGCTTGCAACACAATTTACTGTTTCTTAAAGTATGCAATGCGACTAAGGATTTTGCACTGGTAGTTTTTGTGGTACCTATAGGTATGTCAGATCAAGTGCAAGTTGTTGTCATTGACGGTACATATAAATAAACAAAAGGAAAAATTATTAATAATTATAATTATTCATAAGTAAAATATTTATTAAGACTTAAAACAATGAAATATTAAAAAACTAAGTGGCTTAAGTAGTTTTTGCATATATAATATTATATCACATATATAATATTGTTATATATTTTAACATAAAGATATTCCTATATCAGCAAAAAAGTTAAAATACAATCAGTCATCACCTAAAAACTTCCAACAAATACCAGATTGGTGGCTTATAACTTGTCTTAAAAAAATTTTATATAAAATAAATAAGCGTATAGGTTTTTGTGTTGATTCTTAAAATTTTAAAATAACAGTAAATATACCTATTTCTTTCATCCAGTTTTGTGTTTACTGCGAGATATCAGCTAAGCTATAGGTATACCTAATGAATATTTTGTATTGTATAATAGTAAGTATAAGTATATTTATAAACAGACATTTAAAGGGATAGGTCTATAAGAAGTATAAAAGTTAAAATAATTAAAAAATAACGTTAAATAATCAGTTTAATAAATCAAAAACGGCGTCTTGATTGGGTTGAGTGGCAGTCAAATGTAATCTGTCAAATAATATTGAATCAATAGGGTCTAAGGAACTTTGTTCCTTATTAATTTTAGCTTCAACAACCTCAAGTCTTTTGTCCATCAATTCAATACTTTTTAAAATTTTCGCTTGATCAGACTGAATCTTTCCTAAAGATGAGAGAATTTGTTGCAATTTTACATCTAACTTATTTTCACTGCTACTACACATGGATTCGCCATTTTGAACTACCGGAAGCACTCTGGGTGGTGAAGATTTTCTTACTTCGCCATTATTTTCACATTGCAGTGGTTGGGTTGCATTAGCATTATTATTTTCCATATTTTTCTTATTCTTTTTTCCCAAATCCACTTCCTCTTTGAGCATTTCCATTTCTGATGTTGATGCTGTAAAGAGGTTTTGGAATTAGGAAGACAAAAAACAATATAAAATATACAATTAATTTTATTATTTAAATAGATAAAATGTACATATAAAGTGTGATTTATGTTTGCATGTGATTACGTTGATGGACATATCCGTGTATGGTCCTAATATAAATGTTTAATTTTACATTTTTAAATTAAATTCCATTTTTAGTTGGATTACTTCAACTGGATTCACTGTAAATATTAAATTAAATAAAATTTATATGTATGTAATTTATGTATTGGATATTTCACCCCAACTTTACCCCTTTTCATTTGACTGAAATTTTTATGTTATACTACCCCACTCTATGATTTTTTTATTTTTTCTTTACCCAACCGTTTTCTTTTTAATGATGCTTCAAGCCTTATTCCATAAAAAAATTTAGTTTTTAAGAAAAAACTTTTCATTTATTCTGCGACGTTTTAAAACGCCAGATTTACGGTATTATAATACCGTAAATCTGGCGTTTTAAAACGTCGGAAAAAAAGGAAACACTGGTTACGTTTTCCCCGAGCCTTGAAAAAATTGTCTTTGGGAAATATAGTTTTTTTTTGAAAACTTAAAAATACCAAAAGGAGCATTTTTTATGTTATTTATAAATAAATGCTTTATTTTTAAGGCCGCTCACAAATTTTTTCGAAGACATTTTTTCCGCACCTTGCAAAAAAAAATCGTTTTTTTAGCATTTAAAACACTACTAGAATTTTAAAAGAAAAAATTGGGTAATTTTGCAGAAAAATTTACTTTTGCATTTTTATTGTCTTATCTGTAGCACGAGGTTATAAGAGGAGCAGACTTTCAAAATGCGTTTTCTCCAAATTGCATAATTTTTAGAAAACACAGGTCTGGTGTAAAGTTACTGATATGGAGCAGAATTCACGATTCCAATAAATTTGGAAAATGAGTTCTGTAATATAACTAAAAATATTTATCACAAGAATTTCAGAAATCTGAAAAAAGATGGATTCTAAATATTAATACAGTTTATATTCGTTTTTTTTGAAAATGTGTTGCAAATGGAATTACGACCTTTTGAAAAATCACTCCTCATATGCAACTTAAATATGAGTGAAAATAAGGAAAAAATTCAATACATTTAAAAGTTGCTTTCAAAAATGGAAGAATACAACAGACAATTAAAACATTTTTTTAATGAAAATTTTGATGCACCCCGCTCTGGGTAGCCATTTACCGAAAATTAATAAAAAAACTTTTTTTTTAAAGAGTTAAGTGTATATTATACAGTGTATAAGCAGCTGAGAACAAAAACATTCATCGCCACAACAGATTTGTTTCAGTTTTTGCCCATAAACCACAAAAGTTCTTAAAAAATGGCAAATTAATATCAATATTAATGTTTAGTTTAATTAAATAAGAATAATATTTGTTTAAATTATGGGGAAATAATGACGTTGTAGATTCAATATATGATTAGATAAAATATACAATAATTATAGTATAAAAATACTTACTTAAGTATTTCGCAACCACAAATGGATCTTCAGAAATATTTTTATCAATATCATTGATAATCCTTTTTAAAAAGTTTGCCATGTCGCTTAACGTGGCCGGTTTAAGATGTCCGATAAGGTTAAACTTTCTGTTCCAGAAATAAGGAATGTTGCCGTCTTCAAGGGCTTTTTGATATGTTCTTAACATCTAAAACAGATTATTAAAACAAAATGCTTTGTTTAATAGTAACTAATCGTACCGTCATAAACACAATACTAAGTGGTCTGGACCAATAGGAACATTCTTGATGTTTTTCAACCTCCAATAGAAATATCGTTTTAATAAAGTAACTGGCTATTTTGACGTGTTTCTGCTGATCACGTAGTTTCTAAAATAGAAAATTATAATTATAAAACAATTTAATAACGTAAATAAACCTAGAGGGAAATTCGGTTCCATCATTATCAATTATTAAAATAGGTAACCACCAAATCCACAGGTTGTTTCCAAAAACTTGCTTAATGTTCTTCCAAGAACCAATGTTAAATCCATCTTTATCAGTGCCAAATGTAAAAAATGTGGGTGGTCTTAACTTTTCCAAAGTGGTATAGTTATGAGAAATCAAATAAATATGCAGAATAAGAATGGGCGTACAAGCCAACGTAAAAATAATGGATGCAAGTAAAATATAAATTACAAGAAACAACATATAGTAATTCGCCCCTTTGGTAAAGATATCAATTTGGTTTTTGACAAATGGAACAATATAAGGAAGCAACGTAACTGCTCCATAAAAGCAATAAACTATTGTGTAAAACAGAAACAACACGAAAAACTTGTGATTCGTATACGAGACACAGTTATTAATCCAGGGACAGTGATGATCCATCCGTATAACGCACGTCTCGCAAACAGAGCAATGATGAGATCTGTCGGGTTTTATCAATTTGCATTTCTTGCAAAATCTTACTTGGCCGTTTGTCGATGCAGTATGAATTGGCAAACCTTCAATTAAACCATTTAAAATCAGATTTTGAGATACTTCTGTTCTGCTATCAATAAGCATGGAGTACTTGGCATCAGGAATCCTAAATCTGTCAGGTATAGGCATTTTTTCGTAAAACACAGTTCGCCAAAAGACCCAACAGAGCATAAGGAATAACATGTGGTAGAAGACAAGATACAAAACTTGGATAAGGGTCCAATCGACTATTTCTATGCACAAGTGAATGTAAACGTAATACGAAAAAAGAAGATTTACAAGCACAAGGATTACCGGCAACCAACGAATTACTTTTTTTATATTCATGGTAATAATGACACTTTATTTGACACATTAGCCTCACTTTAATAATTCTTTAAGTTTACATCTTGCCACTTACCTTTAGCAACTTTACAGTAGACTTCAAGGCTTTGTAATCCTTGTTAATCATCTCTCTTTCCTGTTCCTGAAAGGAAAGTCTCCAATACCTCTCGATGGAACCGTCCTTAACATCGTACGGCTTTTTTGGAACAATAAGGAATGTTTTCTAAAAATTTAAATTAAAATCTTGTCCTCAAAACAATTTATTGTATCACCCTTATTTCAGATGGATTTGGTTTGTAGGGTGAAGCGGGCCAGTGGTGTTTGGCTTGAAATTGAAAGCAAGGTACCAAATCAATATCTACATCTATTGCTTGCCCTTTATAATTTCCAGTAATGTTAAATGTAAAAGCTGGGGCTTTAGTTTTCAAACTTCCCTGAAAATATTTATTAATTTAGTGCCCATCCACAGTGTCCCCCAGTATAATGGAGGTCAAACAAGAATGAAGCAAAAATACAATTTTATATTTAGGTAGAAGAGTGAAAAAGAAGTGAAAAACTGTTAAAAGTAAAATCGTCGCTGATTCTTCACAACCAATTTTGATATTTTTAAAAGACAATAATAATAATAATTATTGTCTTAAGTAACAGAATGTGATTAGATTTTATTACGTTTTCACGATTGTTAAATACCTAAAATACCAGATTCTACGTATAAATAGAGAAAGAGAAATTGCGTATGGAGGATCATTAATGGAATTTAACTTATTAGTAGAAATTTATAAAATATGAGCCTACGATTTTAACGTTGAAAAGGAAAATTATAACTAAGCATTGGAAAATAATCTACTGATTAATATCAAGTCACGTTATAATTTTTTAAATTTTATTAACAATGTGTGATTAAACCTTTCTGCACTATTTGATTGAAACAAACTAGGTATAAAAAAATTTATGCAAATTTCATATTATGGTGCTATTTGTCACTGTTTATATTTATATAAATTTTTAATGAACAAATGCCGATTTAGTCCTATTATACAATTCTTATAGAATATTCTATATATTATATTATTATAGAATATTCTATACACAAAATTTAAAAAAATCCGTTTCAACTTTTTTCAAGCTTGCCCTTTGGTACTATTTAGCGCCGCGGCTACCGCTCAAGAGCACGGTAGACTAGAATAGCGAAAAAGTGGCCAAAATTTATAAAAAAAAAACTAAAGATATTATCATTATGGAATTTTAAAACAGTACTTTTGTAGTATTAATCTTAATTCTGCACAAATTGGCGCAGTGGCGGCAATCCTGATGACATAAAACGCATCACAAACAAAAGATCCTTTAAACTAAGGTTAAAACAATATTTTTTAAGTACTGTTTAAATAACTGGCCAGTCACCTTTTCTGATTTTAATTTTGTTGTTTAATTCCTCATCATATATTTTTTATTCCTGTTTATGATATTATAATCTTGTATTTTATATTTGTAAAAAAAATAATTTATGGATATATGGTTTAAATTGAATATTGTTATAAATGATCCGCACACAAACTTACATTTAGGCGGATCACCATCTGTTATTAAAAACTCAAAATTGTACATTTTTGTCAATAAAGAATTGAATTGAATTGAATATATATATATATATATATATATATATATATATATATATATATATATATATTCAATTCAATTCAATTCTTTATTGACAAAAATGTACAATTTTGAGTTTTTAATAACAGATGGTGATCCGCCTAAATGTAAGTTTGTGTGCGGATCATTTATAACAATATTCAATTTAAACCATATATCCATAAATTATTTTTTTTACAAATATAAAATACAAGATTATAATATCATAAACAGGAATAAAAAATATATGATGAGGAATTAAACAACAAAATTAAAATCAGAAAAGGTGACTGGCCAGTTATTTAAACAGTACTTAAAAAATATTGTTTTAACCTTAGTTTAAAGGATCTTTTGTTTGTGATGCGTTTTATGTCATCAGGATTCGTGTTAAAAAGTTTGGGACCGTTATAAAGTAAGTTTTTCTGCAAACCTGATTTTTGAAATAAAGGTATAATGTATAATCTATTGTTTACACAACTTGTTACATAATTATGTAGCGGTATCAAGAACCTATCCGGATTACATGGTCCACAGGGCAGTCTGGTATTGATACAGTTTTTTTATTGGAAGAATTTGAAGTTCTGTATATAATAAATCATTCGAATATCTTCTGTTTTTCTTGTGTAGAACTTTAATTATTAAGTTTTGTGTTACTTTTATACCCTTTAAAGCATTTTCGAAAGCTCCACCCCATATAACAATACAGTACCTTAGCAAAGATTCAACTAGCGCAGTATACACCGTCAGTAACTTATGTTCTGTGGTCAGTAACAGGTCTATCACAGAACATAAGAGGTCTATAATTGGTAGCAAGCTTTTTTCGCCAGTTTTGAAAATAGGGGTAACTATGGAGACCTTCGAAAGTCATGATCATGGCTCTTGGGATTTTTCCAGTGGTTAAAATTACATTAAATATATGAACTATTGGTCGAAGAATATAAACATGCACAGATTTCAATGTTTTTGAGAAAATTACTTCATTTTCAGTAACAGGAGATAAAAACAAGGAAGCCGAAATAGCATCATTATGATTCTGATTTTTCTGGTTTAATATTTTTTACCATTTTGTTTCCTATATTAACGAAAAAATCATTAAAATTGTTTGCTTTTCCTTTATTATCTTTTAAGCATGTGTTATTGTTATCAACAATTTCAAATTTTTCAGTTTTTTGTTTTTTTTTTTTCATTGTTTGTAGCCTAATTAATAATTTTCCAAGTTTTTTTTTGTATCATTTCCCGCTAACCTAAGTTCATTTTTATAATAATCATTTTTTGTTTTAGTTATTAATTTATTAACCATGTTGCGCTATCTTTTATAACTCGAGTTAGTGCTTCAGTACTATTATTTCTTAAAAGTTGTTTTTTTAACTTGTCTCTATGTCTTATACTGTTTATTAGCCCTAATGTAATCCAAGGTTTTAGTTTAATATGCTTGTTATTTTTAATCTGAATTACCTGTTTATTTTTGTTAATAAAAAAATTAAGTTTTGTGATAAACTCGTTATAAATAAATTCCGCATAGGTAACTTTCAAAAATGTTAGACCAGGTTTCTGTCAGTAACTCCTCATTAAGTTGTCTAAAATTAATTTTTTCAAACTGTTTTATTTTTTCGTTATGCAACTCGGGTATTTTTTATTTATAACTAATATTTAATAAAATGATCAGTCATAGCACTCAATCAAAATAGTATTTAATTTTTTGCTTATTTCCCTACTCCTGAAACCAACAAAAAAGTGATCAATTAATGTTTTTGTACCTTTTTCAGAAACTCTTGTAGGTACAGTAATAAAAGGAAACATTTGCACCTCCTGACGTAGTTTTCAACATATTTATCTTTGAAATCTAATAAATCAATATTTATATCTCCGGCTAGAATTTCGATATCGCATTTATCTAAATGTTTGTAATAGTATTCAATATCAATATTAAACCTATTTTTGTATATATAAAGTGTAGCATATTTTAAATTAAAAAAAGTAATCAACTAATCAATTACCTACGTGCTTTAGTGCTTAAACTAGTACATATAATATAAATATTATTTTCGCCGCTACTAATTCAAATACATTAATTTTTTAACAGAATCAAGACTATTAGGTAATTAATTAACACGCAAAACATGTGTATAATTTAAATTTAAGAAGTAGTTTACAAAATGATGTAATTTTTAATTTTATTTTATAATTAAATAATAAATAATAATAGTATGAATAATTATAATAAAAAACAAGGTAAGAATCAGCGACGATTTTATTTTAATTAAAATTCATATTGCCATACGGCCATTCCAAGCCCATGGACAGGACACATCAGAAACATGTCTAAATATATTCTTGTTACTTCCTTAAGTTTACTTATTTTTTCTACGAGTATTTATGAGAAGTATTAGCCAAATTTGGCTAATACTTTTCATAAATACTCGTAGAAAAAATAAGTAAACTTAAGGAAGTAACAAGAATATATTTAGACATGTTTCTGATGTGTCCTGTCCATGGGCTTGGAATGGCCGCATAGCGTCTACTGCTGGAATCCAAAGAGTTTTCGACTCGTCAATTTATTTTGCGCTATACCTATTATACTGGGGTATACTGTGCGGCAAACAGCAAACAAAATTTGGTCTAAAATTGGCCAAAGATTGGGCAAATATATTGAACGTAATTGTGCAAACAATGGTCAATGGCAGTTATAAATTAATGGACAATGTTTGCACAATTTCATTAAACAACATAATCTGGCAAATTTGTTTTAATGTCCATATTATAATAAGCTATTAGAATATTGAGATACAAAAAAATTACCAGTATGTAGGTACAATAACCAAATAATGTATTTTGGCAAATTACAAGAATAAAACTCAACAAGGTTACATGTAAAAGTATAGGAAAATAACTTTTTTGCGAGTTGGAATCGGTGCTATGTGAAATAAATGATAAAAACTGCTTTCTAAACAGCACAATGTTTACTTTTTTTTTTCAAAAACAGTCTGCTGTTTATAAAGCTGTTTATTATAATTTATTTTACACGGCACCGATTCCTACTCGCAAAAAATGTATTTTCCTATACCCACTAGTGCGTTAGAATTTGTGTTAATAATCTACTTAAATTGAAATATTAAATCATAAATTTTATAAACTTACAAAAACAGTAATTCGTTCCTCGCCAATAGTCACAGTAAAAATAGTCTTGGTTCCATCCCTTGACATCTCATTAAGAGCCTTGTTCAAAATACTTTGCATCCAGGAGAAAATTTTAACTGTGGATAAATAATTTTGTTTATCTAAGAAAGAGTGAATTATCCTAAAAATAAAAAATATAAATAACCTTTTAAATAAGTGTAGCTTACATACAACAGTGGATCTTTTTCGGCCCTTTTTAATAATTTTTCAAATTCTTGGATGCGACAATAAACAAACCCGTGTTTATTGCTATGTTCTACTTTGGGGCTAATAACAACGGGCAAATTTAGTACCAAGTCCAAATCGTACTCTTCGGCTTTACCCACTTTTAAGTTATCGTAATAACTTCCACCGAAAAACATTCTTTCATACAGGATTTTAAAAGTTGCATCTTTTTTCAGTTCATTAACAAGTTCGTTGGTTACCTAAAAAAACATATAAATGAAAACACTATAAAAATGAGGTGGTTTTGTTTTATTTTGGAGTTTCCAACTGTACATTTTTAAAATTTACCCTTTTTCGATAAGGTCTAAAACAAGGTGGCCAACCGTACCGGATTAGCCGGGACAGGTTCCAGTTTTTGGAACGCCGTCCCGGAAAAATAAAGTGTCCCGCACAGCAAACGGAAAATTATAGAAGTGTATAGGATGACGCTACGTTTGAATATGGTTTTCTAAATCTCCCCACGGTATAGATTTGTATTCGTCAGTCGAGCGTTTCAATACTCTCCACAGTATAGAGGTCGCAATTTCACTTTTGAACTAGTATTAATATAAAAATTATTTTATGCTTAAAAAAACTATATACGACATGATTGTGATGTATTCATTTTATTAATTAATTAAGCTGTGTTGAATATTTTTTCTAAAGGAATAATTGCCAATGGGCCATTAATTCATTTGTTCGTAGATGCTACAATAACCTCCCGGACAACATTCGTGATATTCATACGAACATCATGTCGTGATTTTCACCAATTTTATTTATAGTGATATCATACGGAAGTCACCGCGTGATAAATGAAAATCATACGAACGTCACGTCGTGATTTTCACAAATTTTATTCATACGGACATCATCCGGATGTCATTGCGTGAGAAATGAAAATCATGTCGTGATTTTTTATGCCAACGGTGTTTGGATAATCATTTTTGAGCTACGTTCGTACACTAAGAGAAAAATTATGTTGAATCAACAGTTTTTGCGGTTAAATACATTCAATATTTTCTTGGATTTATATTAACTATATATAGTTAATTTAAATCCAAGAAAATATTGAATGTTAAACTGTTGATTCAATTGTTAACATACTTTTTCTTTCAATGTACGAATGTGGCGCAAAAATAAATATCCAAACATGTCGGTCCACCGATAGCATAAAAAATCATGTCGTGATTTTTTATGCCATCGGTGTTTGGATATTTATTTTTATTCGGCACCAAACATGTCGGTGCACCGATGGCATAAACAATCATGTCGTGATTTTTTATGCCCAAACACCGATAGCATAAAAAATCATGTCGTGATTTTTTAGGCCATCGGTCAATCGCAAACAGTGATGGCATAAAAAATCACGACATGATTTTCATTTCTCACGCAGTGACTTCCGTATAATATCAGTATGAATAAAATTTGTGAAAATCACGACATGATGTTCGTATGAATACCAAGAATGTTGTCCGGGTTCAATTAAAAAAGATATTCCAATGTTTAACAAAACGTTCACGTTTTGTTAAACATTGGAATATATTTTTTAATTGAACCCGGACAACATTCGTGATATTCAAACAACGTTTTATAAATTATAACGGTGTAATGTGAATAACAAACTAGGTTTTAAATTCGCAGTTCGCAGGGCTTGAGTTCTACATGATATCACTGTGATAAAGCATGTGTATGCACTCAGGATATCACAGCGTGATAAAAAAAAATCACGTTGTGATATCATCATGACTTCACCAGGAAATCCCGATTGTTGTCCGGGCTGCACTGGTGTGTACTTTTTCATCAACCAGATTTAAATATTGCTGTACTAACATATACCAGTGGAGATAGTGCAGGGTCTACCAACATACCTCATTACTAAATTATTAAAGTTTAATAGCATATCGATCATTTTTTCAACATAACCTCTGAAATTTTTAATACAAATATAGGTACTTTATATAAAACATAAATATACTTAAGTAACATCATATTCTCTGTGCTTTACATACCTGAGTTGTTACGGTAAATAAAAATCAGACAAAGGAACCAAAGAAAGGAACTATTTTCAACAACATCATATGCAGAAATGAGAAAATTCAAACTACTTGCATCCATCAAAAGATCAAAACTTCTTGCAATATTACACCCTCTTTTTATACTCTTAGAAATATTGACTAGAACAGTATTAGAGAGATTCCAGTTTCTATAACTTGGTAGAGTAAAGAGAAGTCGAAACCGTTGCGATATTGGATTGCGCTGTTTTTGTATAATTCTCGGGGACATTATCGAAAATCATTGCCAGTAAAATTCGAAAAGCTTAAGTTTCTATGTCTCTGAAGAGAATAGGAATCCGAAGTTGCTGCACCATTGGACTGAACCCTTTTTTAATAATTTCTAGAGACATAAATGACTGCACCATTCGACAGGGTCGACTTTCTACCTCTATGTTGAATATAGAAAATCAAAACAATGTATCTTGTAAGACACCATTGAGTTTGACTTTAAATATAGTCGTGCATAGGTATAGAGCCAAAAAATATAAAAACAAAGCACGATTCAATACAGTTCTGATAAAACTTTAAGATTTAATATTCAAACGCGGAGTCATCCTATACAGTTCTATATTTTTCCGTTTGCTGTGCGGATTGTAACGGATTTATTTGTTTCGTAACGATTTGTACCGGAAAGACGTTTTCAATAGTATTTCTTATATGAGGCAAAATTTGCCAAGTGTACCAGGTGAAAAAAATTTTGTCACCGATTTTGTTTAAACTTTACTTATTTGTTGTTCTTATAACGAAGAATCATAGCATAAAATTTTTTTGCTCTAGGATTGTTCATTCAAGAGTTATGGATTATTGAAATTTATCGATTTAGTACTTTTTGGTGAAATCGCTTTTTATTTAAAAATTCATAACTTCTGTTCATCTCTTTATTAAATATTTCAATTTAAGCACCTTAAATGATTTTTTCCGTACTTTTCAATGGGCTATACCGTTTTTGCAAAAAAATAAAAATTGCAATTTTTTTTTGAAATTTTGCAAAATTTTGCATATTTTGAAACAATTTGTATTTTTTATTTTTTTTTAAAATAGCATAAAATCCAAGTTTATAATGTTACCTTTGAATAAAAAAAAAATTTAGAGTGGGCCCGACATGTAGAAGGGAAGTTTTTCATATTTGAATGCCGCACGGTCTAGCCATCGAATAGCTACTACACTGCCGTATGCGTTTATACCTAGTAGATGCGAGTAAACGAATACAAAATGATAATTTAAAATGTAAAATTATGTTTGAGTAGTCAATGATGTATTTTAAATATTTACACTGCCGCAAGATATAGTTTTTTTATTGTGTATTAGTCCTTCGGAGGAGACTTTAAGCCCGCGGTCCGTTCCTACCCCTAACCCGCACAAGCCATTCAGTTGGCTTATGGGACTTCTTACGAAGTAAGGGTGGAACTAAAAGAGCACTTTTGTATATAAACTGTATTTTTTTGCACAAATTGTTTAAGCATGGGTCTACATAGATTTCGCAAGGAGGGTCGATGATAAAAAATGTATTGTTATAACCGTAAAGGCGCCATTCAGCTTATAGGCAAGCCGTTACGGTTATAACAATAAATTTTTTATTTAATATCATCGATCCTCCTTGCGAAATCTATGTAGACCCATGCTTAAACAATTTGTGCAAAAAAATACAGTTAAAAAACTATATCGTGCGGCAGAGCAAATATTTAAAATACATCATTGACTACTCAAACATAATTTTACATTTTAAATTATCATTTTGTATTCGTTTACTCGCATGTACTAAGGTATAAACGCATACGGCAGTGTAGTAGCTATTCTATGGCTAGACCGTGCGGCATTCAAATATGAAAAACTTCCCTTCTACATGTCGGGCCCACTCTAAATTTTTTTTTTATTTAAAGGTAACATAATAAACTTGGATTTTATGCTATTTTAAAAAAAATTAAAAAATACACATTGTTTTAAAAAATGCAAAATTTTGCATAATTTCAAAAAAAAATTGCAATTTTTATTTTTTTGCAAAAACGGTATAGCCCATTGAAAAGTACGGAAAAAATCATTTAAGGTGCTTAAATTGAAATATTTAATAAAGAGATGAACAGAAGTTATGAATTTTTAAATAAAAAGCGATTTCACCAAAAAGTACTAAATCGATAAATTTCAATAATCCATAACTCTTGAATGAACAATCCTAGAGCAAAAAAATTTTATGCTATGATTCTTCGTTATAAGAACAACAAATAAGTAAAGTTTAAACAAAATCGGTGACAAAATTTTTTTCACCTGGTACACTTGGTAAATTTTGCCCCATATATACCTGAAACAAAGTTTACAGGATAAAATACTGCACGATACTGAATTTGGATTACCCCCTGTATCTGTATTCGGCATCCCTATATACCCTTGTATACAAGCACAATCGCCCTGGCGAAAATAAAGCGTGCACGATAGACGCTATTTTGTGGAATGTCACACTTTTTAAAATAATTTAGTTTTTTCACTCTTTATGCACATTGACATCACGCTTTTTATTTGTCACGCGTATATTAAATTATTTTTTTGCACTTTGTTTGCACAGTTTTAGTACATTGTTTAAAGACAATTTTGCAAAGCTTCAGTCTATCTTACGCATGTCACATTTTATACACACTGTTAGGACGCTTTATTATTTCTCATTTATCACGTTTATATTACATCTTTTTATAGCACATTGTTTGTACAGTTTTAGCGATCACTCAAATGTTTAAGCACATTTTAGATATATCTCGCTTGTGTTGTGGTAAAACATTTATTTAAAAGATGAGGTAGATTACATCTTATGTATCTCTTCTCGGCAATCCCCGTCGTGGAGTTGACAGTTCCGGTATTTTTCTTAATAAAATACATGACAGGAATGTAAAACCTACAAGGTGGGTATTTTTTTTTTAATTTATTATTATTAGGATATTTATTTATTGATTAAATAAATTTAAAAGACTTTAGAGGTCACCAAAAACAACAGAAGTTGGCAAGAAACAGTGTGCAAACAATGTGAAATATCAAAAGGAGTTCCCTTTAGAACATTGTTCAGTGATTATTCACACTTGTAAATTTTTGGTTTTGCACATTGTTCTCAAATAATTTTGCACACTTTTTTCACATTTAATTTTCGCCAGGGCGTACCTAGAACGTCCTTGGGCCAGCCT